GTGAGAAGCAGAGACGGCAGAGAGGGCCACCTCGCCTAGATGGCTGTGCTTCCCTGGAGCCGAGGGCAACTCGAGTGCTTACAAGAGCTCAGAGAACGATCCCTGGTGACAGCTGGGGGAAATTATTCACACTGTCAGAAGAGAGGCTTATACCACGAATGGTTTCCAATTCTTTATTTTTAAATCCCCAGCTGGTTAAAGACTTAGAAGAAAAGATTTGACAATCATTTGCGTCTTGTCCCAGATGGGCTGTCACTCAGGGGCCACGAAAGTCTAACAGGCGCTGGGCTGGTGGTCGCGAAAAATGCAAGGCACGTTGGTGATTTCCGCGAGGCTTCACCAGGCTATCTGATGCCAGCCACTACAGCTTGGTAGCGCTTCCACCCGAAGAGAGAACATACAATGGTCCTGCCTGGAGCCCAGAGGTGGGCAATGGGATGGCTTCTGTGCACCTGGGCAGGTGGTCCTTGCATGCCCCTCTCCACCCCTGATGCACAGCCTTCCCCAAAGGGCAAATGTGGTGTCTTTTCTGCCAGCTCTCTGGGATAGGCACAGGGGACGGAGGAGTAAAAAACAAGAGTCTCGGCTGGAGTGGACGCTGAGGTTTGGATGTTTGGCATTGGAACTTGCCTCTTATGTTTTAGGGAAATCCCCACGTTATGAAGGTGGGACTCTACTTTAGAAGACAGAATTCCTGGATGCTGGCTTTCCTAACTTCCCCCACAGCTCATGCAACATACCCGCCCGAAACCTCGAACTGGCAGCTAGTGGCTGTTTGAAATCCATTCTGGTGACAGGGAACAGCCTCTACATTTAATTTCTAAAAAAGCAGAGGTGATGGCCCCAGTGATAGTGTCTGGCATTGGTGGTGTCTGTAGTGTAACCCCCAGGGTGTGAGCCCGGGAACAATGGGGAGTGATATGGGGTTTTGGTCTTGGCTAGGGAGCCTCTAAGTCTGGTGACATGTGACTTTTCCCATATTCTTTAATAAACATATTTCCCAGCCAGAACTGGTTTCTGTTATTTGCAAATAAGAACTTGAAGACAATGGCAGTGGGTGGCACAGAAATTGGAGCCAGTTATTGGAGCTTCACTTTGGCAAGTTCATCCTGGGTTTGTACCTGCAAAGGTCTCAAAAATGGGGTCATGGAATGCACAACCATATGCTTGTGGCCAATTCAGATGCAGCTCAGTCCTGTGCAGACAACCTGAAACCATCCCCTTTGCAGAGCCTGGCACCTCAGCTGTGCCAGCTGGAGGGGGGTAGGGTTTGGCAGCCACCCTCTGAGAGATGAGCCAATGCGGCAAAGGGTTTGAGTTCAACACACCAATGCCCCACTAGACCAGTGCTGGGCACGCTGATCATAGGAGCCTTAGGGATCTCCTCAGAGGCCTTCACAAATGGTAGATGGTTTTTCATCCTCCACACCAGGTCATATTTCTGTGTGCCTAGTGATGCCTGACCCTCGGTGGGCACCAGAACCGTTGGATCTATTCACTTTTCAGAAGAGTTTACATATTGCAGTAAGGCAGAGGGACGAGTCACACGACTTCTGAGTTCATTGGTTCCAATTATTCCAGCTCTGCAAAGAAGGCTTTTTTTCGTTGTTGTTGCCAAAATTGCACATATGTTCCTTTAAAGAAAACCACAGTCACTTTCTGATGGAATCTTTCCCTCTCCCAAACCATCAGTCAGAATGCTGGAGCACAATCTCTCTTGCAGTTTCAGTTCTCATTCCTCAGAGAACTGTCTTGGCTACTCGATGCCATAGCTTGCCTAAGTGGCTTTCTGAGGGTGACAAGGGAGACTGGGCTCTATGAGGGCAACAGTACTGCTTTCTTTCCCCCTCCCAGGCAGAGCTATCAGTGGCCACATCCGGGAGAACAGAAGGCATTCTGGGAACATGGTGCTCTCACATCCTGCAAAGTGCAGAACCACAGAGCAGATGGCAGGGACTTCAAAAGTCTAGGAGTCACCTTGAAAGATAAAGGCACAAAGGGAGGGGGTGGGAGACTTTGCACCCTTTGACAACAAGGAAGCAAAAAAGACAAAAGCTATTTGCTAGACTCGAGTCAACAGAACTGAGAGATGGCTTGACTGCAATTTACATCAAGGGAGGCCAAGTCACCTTCTTGTCCAGAAATAAATGGCATCAATCAACTGCCAAACTGCTTCTCCTGCCCCCTGATCCGGCATCTTTTCTTTTTCTTTTTTAACACAAGGAGCATTTCAATCCTCCATGTCCAGGAAGCTTAGGCCTGACAACCTCTCCTTTCCTTCACATGCCTCGGATGGGCTGCAGACAGATCCCCACCCCACAAGACCCTGGGCATGGCAGACAGGGCTTCCTCCTCCTGCTCCCTCCTGGGCCTGAGATTGCTGTAGGTCACATCTGGTTCCCTCTCAGCAGGAAGCCTCTGGTCCCCAACTGCCAGAGGAGGGAAGTTCATGGCACTCACTCATGCTTAGTCCTGGGCCAGTCTCTAGGACTCTTGCACTTTTTCGCAGATGGGTAAACTGAGGCACACAGAGGTCACCTCCCTCACCCAAGATCACAAACAGCCATTAGTATCGGTGCTGGGAAGCCAAATTCACCTTTGGCCAAAGCCAGGGAGAGCCACAAGTGGGATGCCAACTGCTTTTCAACTGAACATGTTAAAAGAAATGCTTGTCCCTGGTTCTCCAGGCTTGTCCTCTAAGACATAACACGTTGGCCAACCTCCCAGCTTGGCAAAGGTCAAACTTGGCTTTTTGGCTCTGAAGGGTAATACAGAAGAGCCCCCGCCCACCTGTCCCCAGTGCTGGGAAAACCCAGCCCAGGTCTGAGGCTCCAGGGGCTGCCAGGCTACTCTCATCTGGCAGGGAAACCAAGTCTCTCCAGGCAAGGGTGGTGTCAGGACAGGCCCACTACCAGCCCTCACACATCTGCTTCTCTGTGTGGGCCTCAACTTCTCGCTAAAGAGATCAAGCCTCAGAAGCCTGTTCTCCTTCTTTGAAGCTGACAGCTTGATGCCTGTGGAAATGTGGTCCTATTTCAGGATTTCATCTGAAAGAGGTTTCAAAAGAGTGGCTTGAAGGCTGATGATGGCTGCTCTCCCGGGCTGTGGCACGGTGGGTGAGCCCAAACACAGCAGCTGTGGTTTTGAGCATCATCGCCAGGCAGGTGACTGTTCTAAATTAGCGCCTGGCTCGTTCTGGAGGGCTCTAACTCTTCTTGAGCTTCATCCAAGAAGCAACAGGAACTTTCATGCCTTCTACCTTTCTCATATTCTCTGTGTTTGAAATGTTCTACCAGGGAGTCTGTCAGGTGAATGACATGGCCCCGTGACTCCTGTTTATGTCAGGCACCTCTTAAAGACACACACACACACACACAAAAGGCTATGAACACACTCTTCTGAAACATGGGAGGCTGTGATCTTGTGGAGCCTTGGAGGTAAATGGAACAGGCGTGTGAGGAAAATGGCTCTGGTCAGTGGCTGTTGTCCTACATCTCTCTCTGGTCACCATCATGACGCCCTGGGATCTACCTCCCTAATTGGAGGAATGCATAAGTCCACTGTAGAAGAAATCGAGACTCCAGGGAACTTCTCTTTTTTCTTATTTTTAAGCTGGTGTCTCATTTTGTCGCCCAGGCTGGAGTGAAGTGGCATGATTATGGCTATTGCAACCTTGGCCTGCTGGGCTCAGGCTATCCTTCGGCCTCAACCTTCCAAGTAGCTGGGACTACAGGCACATGCCGCCACTCCTGGCTAATTCTTATATATACTGTAGATATGAGGTCTCACCATGTTGCCCAGGGTGGTCTCAAACTCCTAGGCTCAAGCAGTCCTCTCGTCTTGGCCTCCCAAAGTGCTGAGATTACAGGTGTGAGTTACTGCACCTGGCCAGGACTTTTCTTTATGTAACTACTCTGTGCAAGGAGCATGTTATGGTTTAGAAGAAATGGAAATAAAAGCGCTGAAGTTCCTGTGGACAGTGCATGCACACCCATTCCAGAAGTGCACCGAGACTCTTCTAGATTGCCTCTCCCAGGGACAGCTGCAGAGAATTTGGCTCGGCCTGAAGAGAGGAAGCTGTCAGGAACCCAAGGCCTCCTGCCTTTCCTCTGCTTCAAGAGTAACTGTCAGTACTTTATCTTGGTTCTGAAGGGCACTGGGTACCCTGCTGTCCCCTGAGAGCATTGCCATCTCTTCACCTCCATATAAGCATCTGTGGAAATAGCGATGTTTCCATTTCTGAGGCAGAGTCTTCATGGTCAAGTCCATGATCTCAACCAGACAGGGTGTACCATTTGGCCACCGAGTGACTCTGTGTCTTTCAAGGTTTATTATTTATAGAAACTGTTTTCCCTGTTGTTGTTTCTTCTCCCCAAGTAAGACAATGCCTAGAGAGAAACTCCATTCACCAGAACACCGGCAAAAGGCTGCTGGACCCTTGCATGACTTAGTCTTGCTTGTCTAAACCAACAATACCTACCCAAGAGCACAAAGATGAAAGTACTTCTATGATGAGGGTTCAAGTTTCCAGTCTGGCCTTTTTTTAAAGAGGGAAACACTGTTTCTGCAGGAACATACCACTCATTTCGCTGGCAACTGCTGACTCATGCTTATCATGTGACGCTTCACCCAGAACATGGGAGGAAGTATCCTGTTGCTAGGGTACTTACCCCTATGCAGGCAGGGGCATCCAGACCCTTCCAGAAGACTCCCTTCCTGTTCCAGCCCTAAAACAAGTTTGCCTGGCTATAAGAAGACTGGGATCCTCACCTGCTATTTTCTTTTTTGCACGTTTTCAGAAGATGAGGGATTTTTCATAAGGCAGGAGAAACCCCTAGTTCATGGGCAGCCAGGATAAAGTCCCTGAGGTGCATGAGCCAAAGTTAACTAAGAGCCATTTTCTAACTCTTGGCAGTAGAGAACGATGTTACATGAAGGCAGCCATGTAACATCATAAAATAAGAGGCTAAGAAAGAAAGCAAGGCACAAGAAAACCAAAATTCCATAGAAAGGTGCAATTATTCTATTAGGTAAACAGTTTGGTACACAGACAGACTGCATCCTGTTAAGATGTTCCCCTTGTCAAGGTCCGCTTGTCTAGCTACTGCTGCTGGAAGGATCTTTGCATCTTTAAGATGTGTCACTAGCTCGTCGAACCTATTTCTGTAACTCTCTGCAAGAGCCAATTTAAGCTGGCTTCTCAGTTCACTCTGCACTCAGAAGAGACCAATTTCCAATTCCTCCTCAGAGTCCATGAGACCAGATGCTGTGACAAATGTTCCAGTCAAATGAACCTAGAAAATGATCCCAGGGTGCTCCTTGGGGGAGCACAGGATTCATCAGCTCTATCTGTGGCTTTCACACACATCGGTTTCAGGTTAAGTGCTGCCTTCTCCTCCCTGAGAGTGGTTCTGATGGGACATGCTTTTGTGACAGCACAGGGGCTCTTGGGGAACAGAAGCAAGTTCCCAGTGAGGCTGGGCACATTTCCAGGTGAGACCCTATTGCATCTGGCAACCTGAATTGGGCAGCAATTCCTGCAAGTGAGAAGCCACTGCTTTCGTTAGGTAGGTCATTGTCCCATAAGCCCCGCTTGGAGCACTGTCATAAAAGAAATGGCAAATCCCCGTAGCGTGATCTTTCTCCAGGGTGTCCATGGCTCCAAGTGACACCTGCAGCAGGAAAAGGCAGAGGGATGGGTGAGCAGAGTCCACACTCTCCTGTAGCTCTTCTGCATGTTGGAGGTGGGTCATGGGTGAGGGGCAGGGTTGCTAGAGGCCCCGCGGCCCACGGGGTAACTCCAATTCTGGGGGCAGGAAGCAGGGGCTGCTCAGGGGCATTCTGCCTCTCCTCTTGGCACTGCACTGTGCTTTCACAGACCCTGGTTCTCAGTTCATTAGTGGTTACAATGAGAGGACAGCTTCACCTAACCTAACTTTGCGTACAGGGTAAGTGGGTTTTCCAGGGCCACATATGCACCAAATAGTGGTGTTTGGGTAAAAACCTACACTGAGAAATGCCCATCCATCCCCAAAGGCCTTTAGATTTCCCAAGTGGCCACTGTGCCATTTTCTAACCAAGCAGTTGACATTTTCTTCACCATCTGTGATGACATTTTCTTAGTTTGAGTACATTCTTTCCTATTGGACACAGAATCACCAGCCTCAACAGAGATAAATGCCAGCCAATCCAGCTCCCCTGGGCAGCCCCACCTGGTCCTGCAGGAACAGCTGATTGGCCATCTGCACGATCTGGTCCACGTGGATGATGCCCCCGATGCTGTTCATCTCTGTGTCTGAGAGCAGTGTCAACACCATGATGGCTTCCACCAGCAGCTGCCGGTACTCCGGCTGCGGCACACGGTTCAGCACCGACTCAACATGGACAGCAAACTTGATCTCATGTGGGGTCATCTGCCAAAGGGATGGGCAGGGGACCAGTAGTGAGAGACGAGGACAGACACAGTCCTGTACCTAAGCGACCCAGGCTGACCACAGCACTGCCTGGACTCAGGGCTTGGCTCAACTTCTGACTCCTTTCTGGCCACCTTCCTGATTCTGCCAGTGGAAACCTTTGGAGTGAGAGGTGAGAGCTGTCCACTGGGAGTTAGTAGGCCTTGTCCTAGCCTCAGTGATCTACCTCATGGACTGTGCCTCCCAGGGAGCTGGGACCCTTTCTTATTTATTTTTTGTCTCTTCATTATTCTTTGCAGATAAAGCATGGTGCCTTGGGTGGGGTAAAAACTAATAATCAATTTTAAAAAATGATCTGGGTGCAGTGGTTCACACCTGTAATCCTAGCATATTGGGAAGAAGAGGCGAGAGGACTGCCTGAGCCCAGGGGTTTGATACCAGCCTGGGGCAACTTAGTGAGCCCTCATCTCTACAATGAAAAAAAAAATAGCTGGATGTGGTGGTACACCCCCGTGGTTCCAGCTACTTAGAAGGCTGAGGCAGAAGGATCACCTGAGCTCAGCAGGCTGAGGTTGTGGTAGCCAAGAGTGTGTCACTGTACTCCTGCCTGGGTGACAACATGAGACCCTGACTTTAAAAGAAAAAAAAAAGATGAATGGGGGACAAATCAGCCAGGGAAGATGACCCTTTTCAGCTGGAGCAAAGGGGCCAGAGGAGGCTGCATGTAGGTCTAGCAAGTGTGGCATGGAGCTTAGCTCTTTTCTCCCAGTAGGGATTTAAAGGGTATCAAGGCAAATCTAAAGAATTTGATAGTCCAGAAATGCTGTTTCTGAGGTGAAGAAGAGAAAAAAGGTGGAGCTAAGAAATGCAGGAGAGAAACTGCAAAATTTGAGGATTGAGTGGCTAAAAAGCTCAGACTTACAAATGGCCTGTCTACAAAGAATAAGCTCAAAAGACCCACAAGTGGTCAGAGTCCGTGAAACAAGGCACTATGGCAAACCCCCAGAGCAGCTGGCGTCTGCGTTTTTCTCATCATACCTCTTGGGTCGTTGAGGACGGGAGGACGTAACCATCAATAGAGAGACCGTGGCACTGGAGGCAGAACACACAGCATGTTTCAGAAAGATTCCAGAACAGGATCATAAGTGTGTGCATGTGCGTGCATACACACACAAGTGCACACGCATGCACACACACACACACACACACGCACATACAGCCCTCTCTGCCCTGGAAGCCTGCATGAGGGCTGGAACATGCCAGACTGTCAGAGTTATTTTTAGAGAGCTTGTTCTCACTGCCCACAGGCTGTTTTCGATGGAACAATTCGAGGGAAAGCAGCAGGCATCTTTCAGATCGCACTGAACAATGCCCTAGGGAGCTGCGTCCTCCTCTCGGGAGGCTCCTTGTTTCACTCAGCAACAGGGCCCGGGCGGCTGCAAGGCCCCCTTTGGTGCCATAATAAAGAGAGAATTTCATGGCCCCTGCTGGTGAAGTGATGCTTCTATGCCTCTGCAGGCATCTATTTTGGAGATTTCTATAATAAGCACCAATCACAAAAGACTCCAGCACATGCACAGACACGCACACGCACACCCATGTATATAAATATCAAGCGCCGGCTCAACACAAAATGCTGCTTTTTTCATAATAAAAGCATTTTGGTATTGGGCCAGTGGAAGTCCGGACGGAAGCATGTGATGCCCCAGGAAGAGTGGGGAGATTTTTCTAGGAACAGTCTGTTCTAGTCTAATTGGCCACCTTCTAAGTCCCAGTGCCATGGCCAGCAGCGTCCTCCATGGGCCGAGGGCGATCAGCAGCAAACACTCCTGCCCCCTGAAGAGAGATAGGAATGGAGGACCAGAGGCCTCTGCAGGCTACCACGTAGATACCGGGAGTCCAGTTGCTCGTGGGCAGGGCCTGCTCTGACCTCCTCATCAGCTCTGCAGGGCCATGAGGAAGACCTTGGGCCCCAAGGAGCACAGAGGCCAGCAGCTCCATGGTGGGCCAGGGGCCCCCGCTGCAGAAAGAACACCGACCACATGGCGCTGTGACCGTGGGAAGGGGGCTGTAGGATGCTCTCATTTGGAATTCTTTTTCTCTCCTCTCCTACTGTGAAATGAGCTAAAAAGAAATAGCTTAGGGGAAAAAAAAATCTGCCTTGGCTTGCCCAGAAGCTTTGAAGTGAAGTATACTGCCCCTCCGTGCAAGAGGAAAGACAGCTTGGTAGGGCCCACAGAGACGCACAAATGCTTTGGGGCAGATGTAGGAGGGAGATGGAATGTGGGGTGCAGAGAACACAGGGGCCTGTCTTCCCACGCCACCCCCTCCTTGACAACGGGCATTCAGACAGACTCTCCTGTGCTCAGGTGCCTGCAGTGCAGCGTGTGGCTGTGTCACCTCACATCTGTCCCCGGTGATGACCCCTGGTGAGACCTTAACAGCCCCCAGGCAGGTGGGAAACCCAGTGGACAGTTGGCTGAGGGGAGTGTGTCTGGGGGTGCTGGGGGGAAGCAAGGGGACCCAGGGTATGAGAGTTTGTGCCTTCAGGGCACACAGGACCTGGGGCCAGACTGGAAGCTCTCCGTTTCTGTATGCACTCGGGACCTCACACAATGCCCTGCAGACAGTAGGGCTCCGTCACATCACTGAAGAACCGTCACATCACTGAAGAACCAGGATACCATGTCTGCCTGAACGTGTAGGATGCTGGGAGCTGGCCTGATCCAGGCCCCTCCCAAACTGTCGTTCCAGGATCACAGCCTGTGGGGCCTGTTCTGGTCATCTATGTCAGTGTTTTCACCCAAAGCCTTCCCTGTCTTTTCTAGTTTGTGCCTGTCTTCTGACTTTTCTAAGTCCCTAAAGTATGTCCAAGTTGGTTCCACTTAACCTGGACTGCTATCTTGCCTTACTTGCTGTGGCTCCAGCCAGTGGTTCTCAATCGGGAGCGACTTGCCTCCCAGGGGACATTTGATAATGTCTGCAGGTACTCTGGGTTGTCACACCTGCCAAAGGGAGGAGATACTGACATCTAGTAGGTAAGGGCCGGCAATGCTGCGAGACATCCCTCCAAGGCACAGGATAGTCCCTATAACAGAGGAGTACTCGGTCCCAAATGCCAACAGTGTCAAGGTAGAGAACCCCTCTTCTAGGCTATGTGTTTGCTTGTTCTGTAGCCATAGGCTACTTGGTACTCAGAAGTGCTACCATGTCTCACCAAGGCAGTAAGGAGGACAGGTAACTTCCCTGAGAGTGTGGGTCTCCCAGCACTGATGCCTATGGAGTGCAGCCCGGAGGCCAGGCTCACCTTCTGAAGGATCTTCCACACCCTCTGGTAGAATCCCACAGGGACCCTGTTGATGGCTCCATCCAGCCTTCTTCTGCGTAGCCACTGGCCCTGCCGCTCCCCCCAGCCGATGTGATATCCTCCTGAGTCTGTGGATGATGTGCCAGTGGGTGAGGATGGGGTGCTGGACCTCTGCAAGACAGATGGTACGTGGCCTCAGGAGACTCCTGGAGGCACAGGGCCACTCAACAGGTGCCCCAGGGAAGGCTCGCCATCAGGGAGGGTGACTCCATGAACTAGGCCCAGATAGCAGAATGCCACTTGCCCAGAGAGGCACAGGGCTCCTCCATGCCACCTTGTGGGTTTCTTGATGCTGGCTGAAATGCTCATGCTCTGGTTTGATTACTTAGCACCCTCCGTGTATTCCTCCTGGCCCCCAGGCAGTGAACGGCACCCGAAGGACCCAGACTTCCCGGGAGGAGGCCAAGCAGGGAAAGGCATGGGTTTGGGGGTCAGACTACTGGGGGTCTGGCCCCCATTCAACACCAGCTGCAACAGGAACCTAACTGAGGCTGTCTATCCCTGACATTGGTGCTGCCTCTGGGCCTCTGTCTCATCTGCACAGTGGGGACACAGTCAGGCCTCTTCCAGCACTGCTTGTTGGGTGTTCACGCATGAAGATACAGAAATGCTGGGAGCACACCTGGCGTGTGCCAAATGCTCATGGGGGCAACTGGGACTGCGAGGGCCACACTCCAAGATGCAAGCCTGATGCAAAGAGCCCATTCCACCACAGTGGGAAGCAGGACTGTCCCATGGCAAGGGGGAGCTTTGCGAGCAACACGAGGCCCTCACAGCAGGTGAGCCTCTCAGAGATGCCTTAGCCCAGGGAGGCAAACACCACCAAAGTGCTCACTTGACTGCTACAGTGCCGCAGAGAAGTGACCAGTCACCTCTTTCTCCATAGGCCAGGTGCCACAGAGAATGCCACACATGACAAAGGGGGAAAGGATCCAGAGGCAAAGACAAACAGTAAAGGCTGGAGTCCATGTTTACTGGTGGGGACCTCGGAGATCATGGCATGGCCGCCTGTACTTTTCAATCTGCTGCCCACTTTTCCTGGTCTTGGCACTGGCTTTCTTCTAATTTGGGGCAATGGCTCCTCCTAGCTAGAAAAGCCAACTTTGCTGAAGCAGAGGAAGAGGGCGTTATCTCCTTCCCACCTCCTCACTGGAGGCTGGGAGGATTCTGGCTCCGTCAGGGGAGCACTAGCACACAGCTGTCATTGGAGACAGGCAGCTCCAGGAGGCCCCCAGTGGCCAGAGACTAGGCCTGCCTGTGAGGCACGTCCCCTCCTTGCTGCAGATTCACGGCCTGCTGTCTCACTGTGGCGGCTTCGAGTCCCGTGGCCTCCAGGTCATATAACACTCACCCTCACACATCTGTTTGTTCTGGGCTAGCTGGCACTTTCATTTCTTAGTGTGCAATGCTAAATGGCAAGAATTTAAAAATAAAATCCAAATATGAAGCACATGAGCAGGACAGGAGGCTTCTCTGCACTCATGTGGACTTCACCAGATCTTATTTTGAAAGGCAGTTAGGCTGGGTTCCTCCACTGGGCTTTTTATTGCCATTTAAGTAAGGCAACAATTACATACAAATAAAAAGAATTAGGCAGCACTCATCAATGACTCAGCTGATTCTGGCCTTTCATTTTTGGGAGGAAGATCAGTCTCGCTTCTGCACTGAGCACACTTCCTAGTCCTCATCTGGATCTGGGGCAGCATTAGAGCAGAGTGCTAGTAGACTCATGTGGCAAGGGCTCACCACTGTGGCTCGAGAAAAAGGCACTGAACCAATGTCCGAAAGTTCCACAAGCTCCTGGAAATCGGTGAGGAGGGCACTCCTCACCCACACTGCACTGAGGAACACAAGCAGAGAACTGAGAGCTCAGGATGGAAAACCAAGCTCAGTTCAAGAACTTCTCAACCTTTTTTCTAGACGCTTCTCAGAATTCTAGGTGGAGGAGGCTGTCAGCATCAAGTGGAAACACTTCAACACTGCTCAAATCTGTGCAAGTTGGGGATGAGGTAGGAACACGAGGAAGGACATAAGATGATTCAGACTCTACAAACAGGGAGGAGGCAGGGAGGGAAACAGGTCCCGACGCATGGTTTACCACAGACTTGCAGGAATGCATACTGCTGGACACAGCTGGGCCCACAGAAAAGAACTACAAAACAAAAAGAATTGTCTCAGTAGTGTGCAATGTCACCAAGAGACACAGCAGAGGAGGAACATGGAGTCACATCTAAAACACCTACAGAAAGAAGGTGCAGAGAATGCGGGCGTGGAAAAGTTCTCACTCAGCCGAGCAAGCAAACCCCGCCGCAGGGTGCCTGCTAGCATGGCTCCGGGCTTCCACTCCATACAGAACTTGCTAAATGGGCTTTCTTTAAATAGGACATGTTGTCAGGCTTGAGTTGTATGTAGAGGGGGGCCTAATCAAGTTAGGACGCTATTATACAGTCATGAAATGCTAATATTTTATGATAAGAGTTGTGAAAATCTACAGATCAGCAAAATACCTGTAACTGACACTAACATCTGGTACCTGACAGGCATTCAATAGATATTTGTTACTTGAACAAATGCGATCAGGCTGATGGCCATTGACCAGACAGTGTTTCCTCACTGAAAAGTCCAGAAGGTACTCTTAACTGGCATGGGTGTAGTATGCTACATGCATGGTATTCATGCAAAAGAGAATAGAAATTTAAAACGCATGACGCTGGCTGCATTTTGAACATAGAATAATATATTTCCTTGACGTAAGTGACCAAATATAAAACTTGTCCTGGCTACCTGAATTCAAACCCATCAAAGAAGAAAGGGGATCATTTTGTCCCCATAACATGCAAGGACAGCGTGAAATGGAGGCAGAAGGAATTGCTCATATTCGCCCACAGGCAGGCCATCAGGATGTGGGAATCAGAGGGACGGTGCCACCGAGTGGCTGGCAGAGGAAGATGTCTGGAAAGTCAGTTCCTTACTTGGAAACAGCATAAGTTAGGCGAGACTGAGCGTGTTTCATCCTTGGACCACGTGTGGAATCTGCCCTTCCGTGTCATTAAGATGTCTCCCCTAGGCACTCCAGTAATGGAGGCATCAAACCATTAGAAATGTAATGTGACTCCAGTTTTCTGGATTGGGGTTGAGGAAGTGTGCTGCCAGGGTGATAGAAAAGAATGCTATCCTTACATTTTTTCCTTCCGGGGCTATATCCCCCAGGCGATCTGAGGACAGGAATAGCAGTATTCTCTCTACTGATATAACCAATACATTCCCCCCTACTTACTTCTCTATTTAGTTTCCTCTTTTTGAACAGAAACTCCCACTGAGGCAGAGCCTAGACCATCTCTTTCACTAAGTGTCCGACAAAGCCCAAGAGTTTAATAAATGGACTTTTTTTAAGGCACAGGGCAAGGTCATTTCTCCTGCCTTTGAGTCCTGCTCTCGGCCTGTTCCCCAGGGGCTGCCAACCCTGGTTTGCTGGGGCCCTTCACACATTCACACTTTGTGGAGTCACAGCTTCACTTTCTACATTCAAGCCAGAAAGAACATAAAGGATGAAAGAAGTAAAGGATGAAACAAGGCAAAGATGTGTCACCTGTTCATCAGCACTAAATCGCCTAGTCATCTGAAAATAAAAATACAGCAGGAAATAAAAACCAGCTTTGAGTCAAGAATGCCTTGCCACTTCTACCACCCTCTGATAATCCAGAACATGTCAAACTGCAAACTGCAGGGGGTGACCCATTCGTGCATCACTGGCTCAATCTGGTGGGTCATGACCAGCATTTGAAATGAAGGAAATACAAGTGCATTTCTCACTACAGGTCACAGTCAAGAGGAAGCTCTATTTCCTACCATGGATACCAATCAAGGCATAGCACAGTCCCTGACACCTGAGGACCAAGATGTTGGGCTGCAGTCCAGTGGGGTCAGTTCAGAAGGATTTTTTTTAAAACTGGGGATTAAATAAAGGTGAACAATACAGGCATCATTGGCATTTCCATCTACTTCCAGAGGCCTCTCGCGATTTCATTTCAAGGACACATTAAATTGGGACATGAGTCAGTAACTTTTTGCATGACTCCTAATTTTTACACAGCTGTGGCCCACTCAAAAGAGCAGTTCTCAGGAACAGAGGCAAACATGGACAAGGGCATTTTCTGGAACATTCATGTGAATATCACATTAAGGTCAAGGGTGAGCAAGTGTGGTGCACGTGAGCAACTGTGGGCTAGAGAGATCTGTTTAGATCCCAGGATGGAAGGGATCTCCCTTCCTCTACAAAGAGCGGGCTGCAGTCTCATGTGCTGGGTTCTATGGTTTTCCTGGGTGAGCCCAAGAAGGAAACCACTCCCCTCCCCTCAGGAGCCACCATGGTGTTCTTCCTACCTGTTTCATCTCACTCCTCAGTCTGTTAATGCCACTCCTCTCAGTTTTGGTGACTCCTGTATGTCCCACCTCATGGATGGAGATGGCAGGGCTGGATGTGGAGGAGTGGATAGGGCGCACTGCAGGGAAAACACACACATGGTTCTGAGGTACTAGACAATGTTGCCATGAGGGAGGGGATCTGGGTGTGTGCTTGTTTGGATCTGTGCCTGTCTCCCCCACTTGACAACAAGTTGAGAATCCAGCACTGAGAACAGCACAGGCACGGCACATGGCTCTTAAAAGTGCAGATGGCAGCATGCACAAATCAGCACCAGAAAGTCCTTTACTCAGTCAGATATGGTTTGTGTTTGTTTTGTTTTGAGTCGAAGTCTCATTCTATCATCCAGGCTGGAGAGCAGTGGCACAATCATGACTCACTGCAGCCTTGACCTCCTGGGCTCAGGCAATTCTTTCTCCTCAGCCTTCTGAGTGGTTGGGGCTACAGATGCAGACATATTTTTTAAATAAATTTTTTTACTTATCCAAAAGCATACTTTCCTTGTAGAAAACTGAGATCACCAAACTATGGAAACCAGAACTAACATCTATTGATCTTTTTTAGTTGTCATCTCTCCAGTTTTCTTTTCCTGTGACTGTGTCTATATTTTTAAGTTACAAAACAGAATCATCACATCCACATGTATAGATCTACAGACATATTAGCTAGATACATGTATGCTCTGAACATATGGACATATAGTTCTGTGATCTGCCTTTTGTACTTAGTATATCGTGAATGTCTTTCCGTGGCATTGACTATTCTATCACATCATGTTTAATGACTTCATAGCATTTAATTTCATGAGTGATAAGTGGTCAATAATATACCAAATCTTATTTGTATTTTTCTAAAGAGTTTGTTGTGACTAACGTGTAGGATGTAGGACCCACACTGACCTTGCCAGGCTCTGTTCCCAGCCTCAGGTGACCCTCAGAATGCCCCAGGGAGATAGTAAGGCTCTCCCTGCTGGGCCAGGCCACCACCTCTCATTTCTAACCTATGGCATCAGCCTCAAGACTCACACCTGCCCTTGGCCCTGTCCCTCATGAGTCCTGCCTTTGTGCTGTGGTCACAGTAATCATTCTAAAACGCAAGTGTGATCATGTCATTGCCCATTCGGAGGCCTCCCAGGCCTGTCTTCAGGATAAAGTCTAAACACTCCTCCCAGTGTCACCTGAAGCCCTACTGACTGGAGCCCTACCGACCCTCCACTCTCAGTTGCACTGTACTGGGCGTCTGTGCATGCTATATACCAGGCCCAGCTCAAAGGTCACCTCCTCAGCAGCATCCTCTGCATGCTCCACCCTCTCACTCAACCCCACTGAGCGAAGGGCACTGTCTAGGGGGAGAAGCCACAAGTAAGGAACCTGGGGACACCAACATTTAAAGGACAGCAGAGAGGGAGGAACCCACAAAAGAGACACAGATCAGCCAGAGAGGAAGAAGGACACCAGGAAAGCAGAAAACAGAAACTAGACAGTGCCCTTCACTCACTGGGGTTGGGTGGAAGGGTGGGGCATGCAGGGGATGCTTTGAGGAAGTGATCTTTGACTTGGGCCTGGTTTATAGCATGTGCAAATGCCAGGTCCAGGGAGCTATAGGAGGACCTCAGGGGGTAGGTATTCATTGGAAATATTTATATCAGACATTTCAGTATTTAATCAAAATTCTAAGCCAGTTTGAGCTTCCTAATTTATATAAAAGAATCATAAATGACAATCAACAAATGATGTTATATGTTAAAAAGACAGCATGTCTTCTGTCCTTACTTGCAATTAGACATATTTATGGTTTTCTAGTGACATTATTCACTTCCTAGTTTCATAGCCTCTATAGTTGTACATCTAATGACAAATTTTTAGTCATTTTCTGTGTCAAACCAAGAATACTATAATGATGAGAACACATTAAATATTTATCTTGTACATTACCATTCAAGGAGTATGCATTGGAAAGCACTGGAAATGACTTCTGGAAAAGGTTCTTGTGCACCCCTCCTTCAGGAAGTGAGAAAAGCCACCAATGCACATCTGATTGCATGGTGCTGCCTTTGTTTGTGGCTGGCATGTACTCGGGAAAAACACCAAGTACCCAATGTCCTCCTTACTAAATGAAAGGCGTGATAGCCCACAGTGCATTTCTTTGGCTTGATGAAATAAATTCACCAATGTGCCTGCAAATCACTTAGCTTTTTTATGAGGAGGAGAAATGATAATTGCTTCAATTATAATTAGGGAGTATTTGAGAACAAGAATCACACCAGGACTCAGGCGATTATATTTCCTAGCAATACAAGCAGGGTTCCAGCTTGGATAAAAATGGAGTGAGCGAGGCAGGACAAAAGCAAAGTAACTCAGCTAGAACATACTGGAAGGTCACAGAGGAGTCTTCTCCCTGCCCTTAAGGAGGGTGACATGAGGCCTGGTTGAGAATGCTTTTATCCCAACCAAAGGCTGGAATACTCAGGTGAACAGTCCTTTCATCCTGACACTTAGGGGCCCCCTTGCCACTTCTAACATGTGAACAAGTGATGGATCCTTGTGGCCACAGGAGGTAGTACACCATACCCAGGTGCCAACCTGCAAAAGAAAAGCTTGCACAGCAAACCCTAGTATGTCCCAAAGCCCTAAAAGCAGGACCCCGGAGTCTAGGACTCTGTCCATCTCCTCAAGGTAGGAATCCTACCTTCCTACATTCACTGTGCCCTAGCCACTAGTACCAATGTTGATCTGCATGGGAAGGAGGCAGCTCCCCAAGGTAACAGAAGATTTACTTACTGCTTCTTTCGACACCAAACTCCTTTCCACTTAGAATATGGTGCAGGAGATTTTTCATATCGAAGGGGCTGAGGTTCATTAAGCTTTCAGAAGCTTCTTCTCCTAAAAACAAATACCTTCTAAGTATCCCTAACAAAGAACTGGTGGCGGGTTCAGTTGGGGTCAGGTGAACCGGGTGGGGAAACGTGTGACATAGGTCATCTGTGGCAGGTCCCCCATTGCTACAGGGCTGAAATGCACTGATCCACGTGGATTCTAAATGCTGCTGTTTAAATTGTGTGCTTGCTTAATTCTTAGACACATAACTGTTCATGTTGTACAGATTCCTGGTATGGAATGCAACTGATTTTTATATTCAAATTGGTAGGATTCCTCCCAGTGAAGTTGTTATTAAATGGAGGATGACATCTCCCAGCAAGGACATTTAGTAGGGAGCTTAGACGTCAGAGGCAGGGCAGAAGATCCTGAGTCACTTTTGAGGTTCCAATGGTCAACATCACCAGACATCATCCTCCCTGACATAAAAAATTCAGCCTCTGTACTGCATGACATGACAGGAGTTACATCTAAATGAGAGAACCTGGGAAATCTTGAACTCGCCCAGGAGACAAGGCCAGTTCAAGAATACCTGAGCAGGCCTCCCCTCAGAGCAGGGTGGCTGGGGTGGGGTGGGTGGGAGCTGCAGGAACTACCTGCCTCTCACCTGAACAGTTTAGACTCCGTGCCAGCTCTGTGGCCATCACCTGAATGATCAGTCCAATTCGGAGTCTCAGCATCTCCACAAAGAGGCTGGGCTGGGCCCTGACATACATGGCCAGGTAAACCACAATCTCCTGACACAGACACACAAAGAGACAGAGTTTCAGAGACCTGATGGGTGGCCGAGGAGTCCCTTGCCACTCTGAGAAAGTGCTATGCCCCAGTCCCTGACCTGCGTGAGGACAGCAATGCTGATGTCCTGCCCGCTGGCCTCGTAGATGAGTTGTGTGAGCTCCTCGGGGGGAAGGGGCCTGGGAAAGAGCACCAGGTCACAAACATGATGAGATGTCTCAGAGCAGTGTTTCCTTGCCCTCCATGGAAGACCCCTGTTTTCTGTAGTAGGCATGCCCATGTAACAGAGTGTCTTTAAAACCCCCTCCTCCTGAACAGTGGAGAGCACTGATGTTTTCCCCTGGTTTCCCTGCAATCCTAGGTTCCCAGGGCAGAGGACTTACGCAGAGATGGTCTTCTCCCGGGGCTCGGGGGGCAGGCCAACGGTGAGTTGCTTCTGGTGGGACAGTAGGTCCGTGCAGGCCTACGCATTGAGGAAAAAGGTTGAGAGCAAAAGAGCTGGAGCACGAGAGAGATTAGTAAAGACAAGTGGGAGGCACTGCTAATAAGATCATACATTTAGGCCTGGTGAGGTGGCTCATCTGTAATCCCAGCACTTTGGGAAGTCGAGGTGAGAAGATTGCCTGAATCCAGGAGTTCAAGACCAGCCTGGGTAACTTGGCAAGACCTTGTCTTTACAATAAATTTTTAAAAATTAGCCAGGTGTGGTGGTACGTGCCTATAGTCCCAGCTACTTGGAAGGCTGAGGTGGAAGGATTGCCTGAGCCCAGCAGGTCAAGGCTGTGGTAGCCATGATCGTGCCACTGCACTCTAGCCTAGGCAACAGAGTAAGACTCTGTCTCCAAAACAAAAACAAAAACAAAACAAAGCCATACATTTACCTTTAACAAATTTATGACCCATATTGCCCTTTATTTGAAAACGCCATACCTAGACTCCTGACTAAGCAACCCAGGCAGAGCTTTGTTCCCATGGTCTGTGTATCTCCAATGTGTAGCCCCAGGCCTGGTTCTGCAGGGCCCATTAGTGGGAATTTAATGCCCACCCACTGCAGCAAACCCACTGGATTCCCTGATATTCAGCAAGGCGCAATGAATCTTAGGATACTGATGGTAAGAGTTAATGACTGTATTATATTACTAAATTACCAGTTTCCCCGTTATTCACATATAATAAATACCTTACCATCATAACACTTAACTCAAATGTCTGAGAAAGTGGTTCTGGAGTTTGCAGGGCCTCAAGGTTATAAATATTAATGATCATTATACTGTGGATGTGCAGAAAAAAGATCTCTGTTTAAGAGAATGCTAGGCCACAAAGCATTTTCATCTGATTTCATGGTAAGCCTTTTTCTGTAGCTAAAAAAGAAAAAAAACTAATCCACTTGAATTTCTTTCCCTCTGCTTGCCTTCCTAGAGCCGGGGGGGGGGGTGGTTAAGGGCAGGAAGAAGGGTTTGTTCCATCTCTATGTTAAATAATGGGTTTATTTTATAAAGAAGAGGTATAACCGGAAGACTGGAAGTGGAAGAGGAAGAGGACACAGGGCTAGGAAGGACACATGAGCAGTCAGCATAGTCACACTGACCTCAGCCAGGACCTCCACTTTCTTCCTGAGCAGGCCTGAGATATAGCGGATTAGACCCCATTCCTGGTTTAAGCCAGCTTTCCCATAGAGCTCACTGAGAAGATTGTGAACGGTGACCCCATGCTGTCCAGAGAGATTTGTGTCCCAGCTGGGACCCCTGTTAAGAGAGAGAAAAACCCAGAAATATAGTCCAGAAGGTTTAAAGGCTGAGAAAGGAATGAATCACTGCACATTATGCCATGCATTTGGGCACTCCCAGTGCCTCTGATTCTCACTGAGAGGGTTACATCCTGCCAAAACATCCCTGTGTCTTTTGAAGCAGAAGACTAACATCAGCACATTGTGGGATTCTGGCCTCCCACAGCCTTCTCATCCTGGGAGAAGCATCAGAGAGGGGGATGATCTCATTCATGGTGATCCTGGGTAATTTGGGTGAATATAATCATGACTCAGGCTGGCTAGAAGGCCATGAAGACTAGAAAAAAATTAAGGAGAACTGAAAAAGCTCAAACTAGTGAAGACATAACCTTACTGCTATGGTTTGAATGTTTGTTTCCCCTCAATTTCTATTTTGAACGCCTAACCCCCAAGGTGATGGTATTAGGAGGTGGGGCCTTTGGGAAGTGCTTAGGTCATGGGGGTGGAGCCCTTCTGAATGAGATTAGTGGCCTTACCAGAGGGACCCCAGAGTGCTCACTCGTCCCTTCTGCCATGTGAGGACACAGTGAGAAGGCACTATCTATGAGAAACTGGGCCCTCACCAGACACCAGATCTGCCTTGACTTTGAACTTCAAGCCTCCAGAACTGTGAGAAATACATTTCTGTTGTTATGTAAGCCATTCAGTTTGTGGCACTTTGTTATAGCTGCCTAGGTGGACTAAGATACTTACTTTATAACATAAAGAATGTACAGAATATCTGCCTGGTCCTGTAGGTTCACACAATCTTTCAGCTGCTCAACCAGCTTTTCACAGTCCACGTCACCATGGTCATCTTTGGGCCACTGGAAGTCACTTTTGGGAGCCTGTCCCCACAAAAGCCAAAAAACAGGGAGAGGGGCTGAGCGGGGGAACTTTCAGAAGATCAAGAAGTAAAACACCAGCCTGGTCTTAGAACTCTGTTGCTGTGCTCTGTTCCAGTTTTTCAATGACTCCTTTGTGCCTTTTTATTTATATAGGCTTTTACTATTTTTGAACAGTGAATCTGCAAGACTGGACTGAATAGGTCAAAATAGGTGAAAGTTATATTTATGCAAGGCTTAAAAACAATCAAAATGAACCCCCTGGGGATAGGAATCATGAGAGTAGTTATCTTTGGCCTGAAGGGGAAGAAATAGGCTGGGAGGGCAAAGAGGTGTGGCCACTAACCCAGTATATTGGCTTGGCGATAATTCATTCAGTTGAAGGAGTAAATGACATACCATTCCCAAATATGCCAGCTTGGGATATTGGTTATTTCGAGTTAAAAACACTGGGAAAATTGTAGTTTCAGAAGGGGCTAACTGATCTGTCTCTTTCTGCATACAGCGAGTGGTAAAGACTCCTCTGGGAAGAGTCCCCTCCCAAACCAGGGTGAGAAAATAGCCCTTACTACCTGAGACCAGGAACTGGGGACTGCAATGAATCTGAATAAATATATTTTCCAAAGTGACCCATCACTTCCACCAGTTTTACAACTCCCACATATCTCCTAGTGACTCCCCTAGAAATGTACTGCCCCTAGTCAGATTGTCTTTGTCTGTCATTGCTTCTCAAATGTATCATTCTTTGTCTAAAAAGTATAAACGCATTTTGCTTTGGCTAATTCTTTGGGCTTCACTCCCTTGTGAAGATCCCCATGTACACGTAAAATGAATAAAACATGCATGCTTCTTTCTTGCTAATCTGCCTATTGTCAATTTGGTTTCTAGATGGAGTTGAAGAACCCACTAAGAGATAAAGAGTGGCTGGAGATGGTCTCTCCCTCCCCTATGGGGCTCTATACCCACTTTATGCAACTTTCTCTAGATATATTATATTTTAATACAATATTTTCTGAAAGCAAAGCAAACATAAAAAATACGTTTTAAACAACCTAACAGGTTAAAATATTCTCCAACAGGCATTGACTGTTTCTACTCATGTGGGATAAAATCAGGGAAGACTTCTGGATAAAATAACACTTTTGGGGAAGCAATGGGGAGCACCCTGAGATTTTATTCTCCTGAAAAATTGTTTACTGTTTCTTATTATGTGAAACCATTAGGAACAGAGTCCTGTACCCTGTTCTGCAAGCAGCCCTCTCTTGGCTGGCTGAAACAGGACAGGGCTAGGTAGCGAGCTAGTTTCTTTCCTTTAGGGTTATATACACTCTGATGAGTAGGCAGAAAGGCAGTAGTAGCCTTTTCCTACAGGCAAGATATAGTAAAATATAAAGGCCTGCATCAAATTCAATGGAAATATTGATGCAAACAAGATTCCAGAAAACTAAGTGGGTGCACATCAGAACCCAGAGCGTCTAAACCTATAGGTCCTGGATATCCAGAAATATGCGTTTTCTTTTGAGTTTAAAAGAACCATTTAAAAGAGTTCTTGGGACTAAACAAGCATCAGAAGACATTACACTTAATTAAAAAAAAAAAGCTATTCCAAATACTGTACCTCTTTTAGGAGTGGTTGAGGAGAATCAACGAGATTCAATGATTTACGATGGGCACTTAGAACTTTAGTTGGCAGAGTCATGGAAACAACTAGAAAACAAAAGAACAAAGAGAGCTCTTCCAGGGAGAAAGAACAAGAAAATACTACTTTTGAGAAGTGCAGTGGCTACTCATTTCACAGAAACCAACTGAAAGAATGATTACTGATTTAGTTTAATTTCAACAACATTTATCCTGTAGCTACAGTACGTGTTCCACTTAGGAGCGAGAAATGAGCAGGACACAGATCTTGCTTTGAGAAGTAGATTTCATTTTTCCCTCCTGGAATTCAGGGAAAATGACATAACATCTTAGGACTAGAAAGAGCCTTAGCAGTGATCGAGTCCAAACTCTTTTTCTTTCCAATGAGAAAACTGAGACCAAGAGGGTACATTTGTTCAAAGCCAATGGGGTCCCCATAATCAAGGTGTCTGGGCTTCCTGTCCAGTATGCGCTTCACTCTGCCACTGCTGGGTGTTACGGCTTATTCTTTAACTACCTTTGGATGTTGTCACCATCAATATTTTTTCATTATGCCTCCTCTGTCTTCCAGGCTATATCATATCATCTCAGGTGAACAAGAAGTTTTTGAGGTAAATATGATGAATATTTAAAAGGCATGTGTAGACCTCTAGTCTATACTAGAGAAATTGAGCACACATTGTAATTTTACTTCCTCCCAACTCCCCACTAACACTACAGAAAATATATACAGTCATGCGTTGCTTAACAATGGGGACAGTTTTGAGAATTGCATTGTTAGGCAATGCTATAATTGTGTGAACATCCTAGAGTGTACTTACATAAACCTAGATGGTATGGCCTACTACACACATAGGCTACATGGTAGAGTCTGTTGCTCTGCATACCTGTACAGCATATTGACTGTACTGAATATTGTAGGCAACTGTAACATAATGGTGAGTATTTGTGTATTGAAATATAGTTAAATGTAGAAAAGGTACAGCAAAAATATAGCATAAAAGGTAAGTGGTCCACTTGTATAGGGCACTTGCCATGAATGGAGCTCTCAGGATTGGAAGTTGCTCTGGGGAGTCAGTGAGTGAATGGTGAGTGAATGTAAAGGCCTAGAACATTCCTACACACTACTGCAGACTTTACAAACACTGGACACTTAGGGACACACTAAATTCATTCAAAAATTTCTTTCTTCAATAATATATTAACCTTAGCTTACTGCAACTTTTTTACTTTACAAACTTTTAAATTTTTTAAAAACTTTTGACCCATTTGTAATCACACTTAGTTTAAAACACAAACATATTGTACAGATGTACAAAAATATTTTCTTTCTTTACATCCTGATTCTATAAGCTTTTTTCTATTTATAAAAGGTTGGGGGTTTTTTGTTTTTAAATTTATTTGTTAAAAACGGAAACACAAACACACACATATTAGCCTAGGCCTACACAGGATCAGGATCATCAATATCACTATCTTCTACCTCCACATCTTGTCCCACAGGAAGGTCTTCAGCAATAACACACATGGAGCTTATCATCTCCTATGATAATAATGCCTTCTTCTAGAATACCTCCTGAAGAACCTGCTTGAGACTGCTTCAAGTTACTTTTTTTTTAAGTAGAAGGACTACACTCTAAAATAATGATTAAAAGTACAGTAAATAATAAACCACTAACATAGTCATTTATTATCATTATCAAGTATTACATACTGTACATAATTGTACTGCTGGGCTTTTATACAACTGGCACCGTGGTAGGTTTGTTTACACCAGCATCACTCCAAACACATGACACTGTATTGTGCTACAATGTCACTACAGCTACTAGGTGATAGGAATTTTTCAGCTCCATTATAAGATTAGGGGATGACCGTCATATACGCAGTCTACCATTGGCCTGAACATCATTATGTGCTACATGACTGTATATATATATTTCAAAAGACAAATCCTCAAGGATAGGAAAAATCAGGAGAGAAGATGAGAGTAACAAAATTTTGGAAGCAAGAAAGTTGATGGACGAAAGATAACTGATGTAGCAGACACAAGGTAACCAAATCCCAGTGGAGAAATCCAAGAACTAGTCAGATTTACATCAGAGATTCCTCAAAAGTCTCAGGAACTGCTGCACTGTGTACCTCTGGAACTGGGGATCCAGAAGAGGTGTCCAAAATAAAGAAGATTGTGAAGAAGCTGTTTGAGAAGCTGTGAGCTCCCTAGATGCTCTCTTCAACTACACACAGCTTGATGACTGCCTTGCTCACTCTGACAGAAGACTAGAGGGTCTCTTTGAAGAGGGTAAAAGAGGGAAGATCTCTGGAGAAAAGAAGAAAGCTGACTAGCATGTCTAAAGGTCTGAATGCATTCCTTAGGTGAAATGAGTAACTATATAGCTCTAGGCAACCAGACCCTTACCCTCCAAATAGGAAAGAAAGTAGGAGATTATAGAGTATCTCCGGGAAATCTGACCAGCCTATACCCATATGACCCAGAGTCAACAAGTTCCACCCACAGGTTTGGAGATTCTCGTGCATGACCAGATAACCAAGAAGTATCAGGCACTTTCATGTGGAAGACAGAAACTTAAGCAAACAGGAAAAAAGTGACTTGGGGGAGATGAAAATCATTTGAGGAAAAGAAAATGTAAATACAAACAAACAAAAACAAAAAGCCCTGCCATTAATCCTACTAGAATAATAAGAAATTATATTGTAATGCATGAAACAAGAATAGATGCAATTTGGAGAACAAAGATGTAAAACATAGTTGAGACAATTGCCCTCAGGACAGATAGAGAAATGGAAAACAGAGGCAGAAAAATGATAAAGATTTCACCAGGAAGTAAATTTCGGAATCGTAGAAATCCAGGGGAAAATCCATAGTCTAGGAAAGGAAATGAATTAAGAAACATTTCAGGAAAACTTTACAGGACTGAATAACATAAATTTTCAGGTTGGAAAGGCCCACTGGTACCCAACACAATAGATGAAAACACACCCAGATCAAGATTAAGGTGCATCACTGAAATGTCAGTACCTGGGATCAGAGAAGATTCTAAACACGTTCAAAGAGAAAAACAGTTTCTATTTGAAGGATCAAAAATCAGAATGGGTTTAGATTTCTCAACAGCAACACTGATAATAAGAAGACAATAAAGTAATGCTTTCAAAGATCTGAAAAAGAAATGTTTTCAATCTAGAATTCTATACCCAGCCAAATTCTCAAATGTGTATAGAATATTTGTAGATATTTTTAGACTCGCAAGGTTTCAACAACTGTACCCATAGTGTGCTGTTTCTCAGGAAACTACTGGATGTTCTCTACCAAAATAAGAGTGAACCAAGAAAGAGGAAGAGTTGAGATACAGAAAACAGGAGAGTCAAACCAGAAGACAAGTCATGGAACTCTCCAGGATGATAGCAAAGGAAGATTCCAGGGTAAAAAGTACACCCGGGACATGAAAGGGACCTAAGCCAGGAGGGGCAGTGAGCTTCAGAAAGAAGCAAGTTGAGGGCTGTCATCACCATGTCCTCTTCCATTGTACCATTTTAAAAAACTAATTAAAACTACTCTAAAATGCCCTCAACCAATGCAAAATTCAGAAATCAGGGACTCCAACTAAAGATGAGCCAAGGATGACAGAATGACAGGTGTGCAACACACCTAGAGCACAATCAGTCCAGAAAAAAAAGACACACGTGGACTCTAAGAAAAATAGTGGAATCACGAGATTCACTAATATGATTGGCTTCGAGGAAATTTGTATTGTGAAGCCACTGGAAGATGGAGAAAGAACGCAAAGCATCCAGAAGCTTTGTAGGAGGTGTTGTTGTTTTTTTTTTATAAAAAGAAAATAAATTTAAAAAATAAGAAAGCAAAGCAAATAAAAAGCTAGGGTAACTTTAACTTTAGAAAAAACAAAGAGTAAAAATGGAAACATAATCATAGTATACTATAATGCTCAGTTGGAAATAATATTTGTAAATATACAATAATATAAAAAGTGAATAGTGATTTAACTAAACTTTAATACAATTCCCTTGGTGGGTAAGGGGAAGTGAAGCAGAGGAATGATGATTTAAGACAGTTGTCCTTATCCCTGTAATGGAAAGTCAATAGGTACCAAACCAAGTTGCTGTGTCCAAAGACAGCAGTATACACACATTATTATTACTACAGAAATATGGAGATACATAAATTCCAGAGGAAATGGCTAAAAGAGTTGAAAGAGGTTGCCTCTAAGTAGGATGGGGGAATTTTGTTGTCTTCTAGGATTCTTTGGCTTTTAAGTTATGTCCATGCATTACTTTGATAAAATAAGGTATTTTAATAGGCAGAAAAGAGTTAATAACATACATGGAATTTCCAAACCCTTTGCTTTTGCCATCACAGAAAGTATGTCCCGCGTGGAATGTACAGCACTGAAAACGTGGCAGTCTTCTGCCTTCTTACAAAGAGGGGGCAGATAGCACCTCAAGGATGTACTTTGTAGAAGATGACTGATATATTGGTCCAGTTCATCTTGGCTTTCTGTAATTGAACGAGCAAGAAAAAGAGTCAATGGAAACAAGATGCAGAAATATCCTAATTACATAATAGTGACTGTGTGTGGCATGCACCAGTGAGCAGGCTTAGTGGAAGACAACATTGATATTGATATTTGCACACCCAACCATTCCCCAAAGAGTAAAAGGAGATCTACAAAGATAATAAATGCATGTATACATTTTTTGTTTGGAAAAACTTCATGCCAGGAAAAGAAACTACATGTCAAGATTGTGTTTCTGTCCCAAGATGAACTGAATAATATGTAAGACAACCTGCAGGACGGCAGCCGAGGTCTGGCCTTTTTGTTTTAATTTGCCATACGCTAGCTAAGCCTTATTAAACTCCCAGCCCTACTTCCAACTAGTATCTAAAAGTAAAAAGCAGATCACTTTGCCTGAAAACCTTGCTCAGACCGAGAAATGTTATATACATAGGGTTTCATCACTCACAGCAAACCAAATGTAGATTATTCTACCATTCCTTTGAAACTTCAAGCAGCTCATTTCTGTCTTCAGAATATGTTTTGCAAAAAGTTTCCATTCCTGAAATTTTTTGTTCCTCTAGGTTTAAAAAAAGCCCCACTTTCAAGGTATCATTTGTAGTTCTGATTTTTAAACTGGCATTTTATTCATTTTAATACATTCAAGTTTCAGAAGCCTCTTTTTTGTTGTTGTTTTTTTGTTGTTTGTTTTTAGTCTAATTATCATTTACTTTTCTGGCAATTTTATCACAATGCCAAGGTTTAAATAAATTCAATGAACCACTTGCAAAAGCATTCCAAGGTGTACCTTGATTACAGGTGTCTTCCAAATATCCTCCCAAATCTGAATCGCTATCAGGACTGAAGCTCCTTTCGCTGGCGTCATCAAACAGCTTCTCCTCACAGTCTGGATCCAGGAAGGTCAGATACGTGTAGAATGACGTGGTGAGAAATTCTGAAAGGTTCCCTAATTTTACTCTGCCAAGAAGACACTATATTAGGGATACAGGTGGAGTGTGGACAAACTTCCACTATGAATCACTGAGAGACTTTTCCACAGCCAGGTGACACTTCTGCCAGAATCAATAAATATATTACTCTGCAGATTGTTCCATATAAGTCATCAGCCAAGAAATTACAGCAAAAATTTAATAGCAAGTACAAAGTGGAAGCACACAGCATATTATAAGCCAAATGAATCAAGCTAATTTCTTACTCCCAAATCCAGTGTAAATATAAACCTATTCTACTGAACCAACCAAAAGTTTTACAAAATATATTGAGCAAACCACTTTTAACCAGAACCAACTTATATTTTTTGCTTGTTTATTTTTCTCCCTAAAACGAATGAACCAGGAGCAATTCTTTGGGCACACGTGTGCCATTTCTTATGAGTCCCTACCCCAGAATGCAGTCACACAGTCACAGGAGTGTTATGATGGAAGAGGCAAAGCTCTTTCTAGAAGGAATTCAATGGGCAGGCCGTCCACAGTCTGGAGCAGATGCCTTGAGTGGCCCTATTACATTAGGCTGGGCACAGTTCCACTGAAAACTGGAAGCTGGGTTTGGGCAGCCTCCAAGTTCTGGAAGGGATTTCCACCCTACAGAAAGAAACATCCTTAAAAGTTTAGATAGGGAAGCAGAGAACAACGGGATCCCTCCCTCAGAGCTACCAGCATCAGATTAGCACTTAGTTTAAAAGGTTGAGAGAAAATGAAGGAGACAGCTGTAGCATGCACTGCAAAGGCATTTGTAGGTGCTGAAGCTCCAATGGGCAAATGGGCTACAAGAAAGATGGCCTAGGGAGAGAATAGAACGGCCTTCCTTTAATCGGAAACCCCACAACCACCACCACCATCCAGCCCTGGGGTCAGTTCTAAGGACTGTTTGGTTTTGCCCTGGGGCTGAAGAAGAGGAGGAGAGGGGCTGGAAGTGGAAAAGGCAATGAGAAGGTTTTCTCTGAGGAAGGTAAAAGAAGTCAAGTTTATTAGGATAAATAAGGAGTGCTCAAGAAAGGGAGTCACTTAAACAAGCTTTCCATAGCAAGTTCTCCCAAGTGGATGCAGGTAGGGGCCAGCTGGCAAGGTGAGTTCAGTTTTTTAAAAATCCTTAGATCTAAAGTCAAATGGGATTCAACCTTTATGATCAAAAACTTCATTATCTTCATAATATAATTTTATTTGATAATGTGATCTATTTTATTAATAGTTATAATTTTATGATATGTAATTTATAATTGCATATTATAATACGTTATAACTGCATTAATTTTATAACATAACTCATTAATTATAAAGATCTTCAAGATCAAGAACTGAGTAGGATACATAGCCTAGGCACTCCAGTCTCTTCCAAGGCTTTCTGAAATGTCTGCCATGCTCTATAAACAGTGGGTCCTTCTGATGCCTAGAACCCCCACTGTTCTAGCCATCAGAAGGGGGATCAGGGGCTAGCTCAGCACGAGGGGTCAGGGGCTAGGTTCTGAATTCACATGGAGCTTCTGCACCTATTCTTCTGTGCCCCAGCTCTCTGAGCCTACAGTTCCTTGTCTATAAATGGGAATACAGTCCATGTCAAAATGTGAAAATGACATGAGACAACACACGGAACACACTGAAGTGCTCAATTAACTGCAGACAATATACTTTTTACACAACTACATCTTGATACAAGAATTTATTTTGCAAAATGGTTCTCTCAGTTATGATGTCATACACAGGTGGTAACTTATGCAAATCAGAGTAAAAAAGTACAAGAGTGGATGTAGATTGCAGTTGTGGCACTAATTCTGGAAATGTACACAGCAAGATGTTGGGGACCATCACACTAACACTCCTGAGAGAAAGGCCAGGAAAAGCTTGGATCAAGGGCCGCTTCAACTCTATAGCAAACTCTGAACAAGGTCTGTGGGCAGAAGCACCAAACTCAGTGGGCACTGTAAATTGCTTGAGGCCAGAATTATAAATACAGTGATTTAACCCAAGGACATTAAGCTAGGTGAGATGAGCCAGTCACAAAACGGTGAATTCCATATGATTCCACTTATATGAGCTAACTGGAGTAGTCAAACTCAGAGACAGAAAGGATGGTGGTTGCCAGGAACTGGGAGGAGGGAAAATGGGGAGTTACTGACTAATGGGTGTAGAGTTTTACTTTTTGCAAAATGAAAAGAGTTCTGGGGATTGGTTGCACAACAATGGAAATGTACTTAACACTACTGAACTGTACACTTAGAAATGGGTAAGATGGTAATGTTCTATTGTATGTATTTTACCACATTTTATAAAATGACAGCAACTTTGCTGCAGTAACAGGGTCCCTGCCAGGGGTGGCAGAATGTGAGGAGAAGGGGCAACTTCAACTCCCAAACACTTTTGCAACTGGAATTCTATCAGGGACCAAACAAAAGCCCCCCTGAGCCCCCAAAAGGCTACATAGGGGGCTGGGCTACACAGTGAGGTTCTCCTGAGGTCCTTCTGGCACATCCCAGGGGATTCAGGAAGATGAGGGCACAGATGCTACATAGAAAACCTCTGCCTTGTAATAGTCTGAGGGTATAAAAATGGAAAGGGTTTTCCTGGAGGGTGAGCCCCTATCATTCAAGGTGCTTATGTATAATACCTGGATGCATCAGTCCTATTCTGGGCCTGGAAGCCAAAAGAAAGCACATTTCACCAAGGGTGAGGGGACAGTGATCTATGCAGGCCCATTTGGGTACTCTGCTCTAAGGGCCACTAAGGAATTTGTTAAGTTCTGTGAATGTTTCTTAAGGTGACAGTACACTCAAATCAGTGCAAGGAGCATTTATTGAGCACCTGCTGCATCCTAGGCACTGTGTATTTTCTTCCATGCCTTTCAACGGAAACATACACAGCAATCCATACAGGCGTTCCAAGAAGAATGCCACTTCAGAGGGGCCTAATGTGTTCACCTCCCAATGCCCAAGGCCTCCTGGCACCTGTAAAACTTAAAAGACACCAGCCAAATGTTGGTTCAGAGATGAGTCAAGTTTCCCACAGGAGACTAGATCAGAGAAGTTTTAACTTCCGTTTTATTCTAAAACTCCGTGTTTCTAGGTTCAATGATTGATATGAAAAATGGGAGAAGGATGGCAAAAGACTTTAAGAAAGGTCAATGCTACTCTTATTTTTTTTTTTTTTAAATCACAAATTACCTAGCTCCGCCAAAATATCCATCCTCTAATTTTCTAATTGTAGAAAGCACTGCAGAATGAATGTCTGAGCCGTCATTTGCTAAGGAAAAAAAAAAGTGATGAATTAGTTTACTTAGTCTGATAATACTTTTTTTCCCCTGGTATGCACTGTTTTCATCAGCATAATCTAATTAAAATGCTGCCAGCATAGAAGATTCCCGAGATAAGAAACCAAACTTCTAAGAGCCCCCTCCAGTACTTAGTTCTGTCCCTGGGAGCTGTTTCAAACAAGGGCCCAACTACCACTGGGGCAGGGGTCAGCCCCATCAGATTCCCAGAGTTACTGAGCATAGTGTGAGTGATGGGGAAGGTGAGCGTGGGTCTGCCCGTCATCCGCCAGCAGGTGCATAGATAGGCCAGCTCGATCCTCAGCATCTCCACGATCATCTCGTTGTCCAGGGCCAGGTAGAAGTGATGCTGGTCAGTGAACTGAAAGTCAGAATAGGCCAGGTAAAAGGCTGCCCTTTGTTTGCCTGGAAACACCAGCTGTCACTCAGGGCAGCACTGATCCTGGAGTTTTACTGCCAGGGAAGAGGCTCATGCTGGTTTTAATCCACCCGGTCATGAGGCAGCTCTCTTCCAGATCAGACAAATAAGTCTGTATCCTGCTCAGGACCTGCTGCCACCTCAGTGTGGAAGGGAAAGGTGCACTGCTAGATCTATTTCCAGCTCCTCAGATGGGGATTTAAGCATCTTGTCCAACACTGCTGTCTCTGAAAGCAAATCAATAACTTCTTAATTCCCGCTCCTTCCAGGGCCACTGGGTTCGAAGACGTTTTCCAAGTGGGGGCACTGAAAGCAAGTGAGGTGTGGAGACTCTTTTTACCTGATTGATGGCCTGGTTAATGTCAACTAAAGGCACTGTTGCTGAATGTCAATGAAAATCAAATTGTTCTCCTGGCCTCTGGACCACAGCACGCTTAGCTCTGAACTGAAATTTGTTACTAAGGGAAGTAATTCACAAGAATTCAGTGAACAGCATGAGCTAGGATGAAAAAGAGCAGCTTGGGGCTACTGACCCATGACCTCAAGACCAATCGTGTGCCCAGGTAAGTGGGGGCTGTGCCCCACACTACCAAAGCAATCCCACCATTTGTCTTTCTAGCTGGCCAAATGGGTGAAAAATGTTTGGTGTGTGCTTCCATGGGTCTAGTTTCCTTTGGAAACAAAAACTCTTCAGTTAAGTTTCATAATCAGTATATTCAGTATTCCAGTAAGGGGTGGTGAGGCCTGAAAAATCAGCCTGGCTATATGTTATGCATAGGGTCTAATGACAGCCTACAAAAGGGTTGGGGACTATTATGATTAGGGGTATAAGGATTATAAGTCAAATGACATGTCACCAGCAAATTTCTAAAGCGGTGTGAATTTCACTAACATTATGACTGGAAGTAATAGCACACTCAATTTGATTCAATCAACATTTACTGAGCACCTACTATGAACAAAAAATTGTACTAGATACTGGGTGTCATTTTGTACATTGCTATCTGAACCTGTGAATGCAGAATTCTGCCATATTCAAAGTAGAAAAGCTTACCAGACAGCAAAGAGAACTTAATAAAAGGATGCTCGTTGCTTCACTATTGGTCTGCTCATCTTACCTGGGGTGTGAAGGTAAAGATTTGGTTCCTAATCACATATAGTTTAGAGGTTCCAAGGACACCAATGTGTCGATATGGTCGCCCACTCAAATTCATGTTCTTATTTCGTCCTATTTGAAAAGTAAAAGAGAGATTGGGGTTAGAGGAAATAGAGTAACAACTCATCTGACTCAGGCTGAGGCTGGGCTTTTTTTAATGTTAGACAACCCACTTTGGGGTTTGATTTTTCTACTACCATCGTCCTTCTTTAAAATGGGACAAAACTGAATATAAAAACAAATCCCACCCTCCTTTTCATGAATGGATATGACAGCACCTGATTCCATCTATATAGAATAAAACTATTAAAAGTACTATATTAACATTTACTTTTAATTTATTTAGTATTGAGTCATAATATTTTAAAAAGCCAGATTCTAGAAAAATGTAGAGAACCTCCTCCCATTTTAATAGGTAGATGAACATTTTCTGATACTACATATAAAAATGAGAAGCCTTATCAAGACACAAACAACTCTTCCAATTGTGACTCTCAAAGGTAGCTCCTTATTTTACAATAGAGCTGGCAAATCCTACAGCCAACCTGTGGCAGTATCTATCCAACAGCATGAGAAGAATGTGCTGGCGTGCCCATTTCTCTTCACATCGAAGCAGTGGAACCACCTGTTTTAGTGCTTTGCCCAATTCTTGAGAACTTACATACATCACAGTTTCCCTCAGATCTAAAACCTACACCCAAGATGTTTCCTTGTCCAAAATGCCCTGATATTCCTCAAACTTACCAAGCTTGGCATATATGTGACTAAGAATTCGTCCCGGCTGTACTCGAATTGGATGGATGTCTGCAATGCTCTGAACATTTATACCATGTTTGCTCAACAACTCCTTAATGTGACTGTTTTCTGCCAAAACAGTAACTGTGAACAAGAAGAACAGAGAATCGGCATTAGCTTGTGGCTCGTCTCCTCATGCTGAGATGCACTCGCTACTGCCCTCTTTCTGCTGGTGATATGTATATTAACATGCTCTCCTATGCACTGATTGGCTTTGGAATTGACAGCATTAGTCCTGCTGCTCTTCCTGATTCTCTCTGTCCTTGCCACCCCTTAACACACATGATGCATATTTATCAAGTGCCCTAAATGGGCAAGACAGCCTGACAAAAGACTTCTAGAAATTGTCTTCGAAAGGTTCCAAGCCTAAACACCCCATCTCAAATGTCTTGTCTCCCTCTGTGTCTGCACTGATTCTAACCCTGTCTTGTGTCCTTTTCACACAGGGTCAGAAGTGGAACTAGCTCTGCTCGGGGGATATCAGAAGCCTGTGCCCCTGCTCCCAAAGGACAGAGAAGAGAAGATATAGTGGAGTCTGCTGGCAGGGGATGCTCTGACTGAGGGGGAGAAAGGGAGGGGACATCTTTTCCTCCAGAGAAAGGAAAGTGTGCCTGTGAATGGGGATGCTGGTGGTAGTAGAGCAGTCTGGCCCGCCCAGAACCCCAGCCCAAGGCCCTGCTAGTAGGGAAGAGCCGCCCCAAGGCTGGTCTGGGCCCCATTTCCAGTGGGTGAGGTTGGGTACCCGGCTCTCCAGTAGACAAGGAGCTCAGAGGGCCTGGGGCCTGGAGTCAGTGGGGGAGAGAGGTTTTCACCTGGAACCATACCAAGGATCAGCTAGGTTGCACCTGCTGTGCTAGTACTGCTGGCCTTTATGAGACAGGACAATGCTTCAACAAAGGGAAGTAGTCTTGGGATGGGTACTGGGAAAGGGGAGCACAGGCACAGAGAGAGTGGTTGGTGCCATGTCCAGCTGTAGCAGAGCTTTCTGGGAACTGGAGAGGCTTAGGGTGGTACAGGATTGGCAACTGTTAAGGTAGCCTCAAGTCTCACCACTGTACCCATAGGCTGACAGGGACTGAATGTATAATACATAAAAGTGCCCTTGAGAGCTGAATGTCATCTCCTTATATTTACATAGTACTTGATGCTTTTTTAGGTATTTTAATACCCATGATCTTATCTGATCTTCACAACAAGCCTCCAGAGAAGCCCTGCATGCCTACCTACCCAGTTATAGCTACACAGGGACTGAAACCTAGTCCTCAGGCCCCCAGCAAACAGGAGCATCAATCATGCAAGGATGGGTAGGTGGCTTTCCTTAACACCTGACTCTTTTGAAGCTTCCAGTGACAAGCAGAACCGAACCTCATGTTTCTCAAAACCACACAGTAGCCACTTGTGTAGGAGTAACTCTTAAAGCAGTGGTATTGATGGCAATCTGGGAGCCTTGGGATCTCATACAGCCAGAAATGGATATGTTCCTGAAACTGTGCTTTCCTTACTTCATACCAAACCCTCTGCTAATTTCTACCCTGTTTTATTCTATTACATTAAAAAATGCTAGTCAGGTCCCATCAACATGCCTTAGCCTGCAGTTGGAAAAGTAATCTTGTAAAGTTAAGGGGCTAATTAGCAAGATATGCTCTGGTTAGGCACAGGGATAATGGAGTCCAGCTGGATCAGTTCATCTGGTTGTCAGAAAGGGGTTTGCCCCTCCAGCTGTCAGCTATAGGTTCTTGAGTGAGTAGGTTAACCTCTAAGCCTGATGTGTAAGGTGGAGATGATGATGATCATCATCATCATCACAAATTTTACCTAATCAGAATGTTGTGACACTTAGGTGTGTTTCATGGCGGACCAGCTGCACGCTATGGACTGAGCCACTGGAGCTCATCTCATTGCATCATGGGCACAATGGGCAAGAGCCAGTGGCCACAGAGAGAACTTCTTTTCATTTAGTCAATCATTGTTTTCAATGTATGCATGTGCATGAGCTTATCAACACAGAAGCTACAGGAATGATGCAGGCCTTGTCCTTAAGACATGCATAGTCTCACTTAGGGGCAGTAAGGTGTATACACAGTGTGCTATGCCATTAGATGGCATATGTGTGCTCTGTGGGGCACCCAGAATGGCATGGAGGTTCCAGGAGGTTCCTCCCAAAGAGGGAAGGTAGGAAGAGGAGTTGCTGCATCCGGGTGCATATCATAGGCCAGGCACTGCACCGAGAGCTTTCCACAGCACAATCTCAGTTCATCTCAAGAAGACTTGGTGAGGGGGCCTGAGTCCCAGTGATCCTGAGGCACAGAGGAGTGGAGTCATGTTGCTAGGTAGAGACTGAGCAAAAGGCAGCAGCCCAGGCTGGCCTCCCACTTCTCTGGAAGAAGTGATAGCTAGAGAGGAGAGGGAGGAAGGTAGACACATGTGACAGGTGGAGAGATGTCTGAGCACCAAAGGAGGAATAAATGACCCTCACTTGGGTTCTGAGTTTTTACCAGGCCTAGGCTCTATTTTTCAGAGAATAACGATTATGAAAAATGATGTCCAATGAACCACTTGTGCAATCAAGGTTTAGGTACAAGAAAACAAGTGCTTTGTAGAAAGTCAATTTGTGGTTGGGAAAAAGCATGTATATACTTCTTAAAAATTTAAATAAGATAAGAAATTAGAAAACAATTTGAATTAAAAATAACATTAGTTTTACAAAGTTAAATATTAATAGTAAACATGCTCACAAACCTTGAACTACAACATCAGGTTTGACTGAAGTAGAAAATCTTCTATTTAAAGGATCAATTTCACCAGTGGCAAGGAATCCCTATAAAAAGAGAAGCATTAAAACTATGAAATATTGATTAAAATTTCATCTTAAGCCTAAATTTGAAAATGAAATATTTTGGGTCTTAAAATATACAGTTTGTTTTTCTTTATATTTTTCAAGTCGATCACTATTTTTTGTGAAACAGAGTATACCATTCAAATTCCCACTGATAAATGTATTGCATTTTTGCATCTAAATCTCCAGGGTTAGTCAAATATATAAATATACAAATATACAAGGTAGTGACCTTGTATGAGTGAAAAGAATGACAACAAATGCTTCCCAAGCTCTTACTATGCACTGGATACTGTGCTGATCCCGATTCACTGTCACATTTGGGCTTCCTAACAGGTAGGCATTACTGGTGGGGCTCAGAAAACAATACCCGCAAATGAAGACCTCAGCAGCAGCCTCAGAAGCACAAGTTTTTCTCTGACCTGCTCCTGCCTTCCATCTCTGGGTCCCATTCACCCCTGAGGTTAGCCATAGAAGCTAGAATCACTCCCCAAGGCAGGTCAGAGAGTTCAAAGCCCCTTTTCCCAGGAAGCCAGCCATAAAATCTAAAAATGTTTTATGCAGGCTGGGCATGGTGGCTCACGTCTGTTATCCCAGCACTTTGGTAGGTAAAGACAAGAGGACTGCCTGAGCCCAGGGGTTCAAGACCAGCCTACTTAACTTAGTAAAACCTCATCTCTACAATAAAACTTTTAAAAAATGAGCTGGGAATGGTGGCATGCACCTGTAGTCGCAACTACTTTAGTAGGCTGAGGCGGAAGGATTGCCTGAGCCCGGCAGTTAAAGTCTGCTGTAGCCATGAGCGTGCCACTGCACTCCAGCCTGGGTGACAGAGTGAGACTCCCTTGTAAAAAAAAAAAAAAAATATATATATATATATATATATATATATATATTCTATGCAAATTAGCCATAAAAAACTATCTGACCTGCCTTGTTTGACTGTAGGTCATAAGACTCCATTCCAGAGAGGGTCCTGCCCCACACCCAGAAGAAAGGAATGCTGCACAGAGATGCCAAGAAGAATCTAGACAGACAGGTCTTGCTGGGTTCCCCACTCAGTCTATTAACATAAGACCACCCTCTTCTTGTCCAATTGTATTTCTACATGGTTGTCCATACTTTGCTGAACCTATGCATAAAAATGGACAATGTCCCCTGTATTTTGGGTCTTCATGCTGAAGGTTCCCATGTATACACATTAAATAAGTTTGTATGCCTTTTCTCCTGTTAATCAATCTGCTTCATGTCAGTGATTTTTCAGCAAACCTTTAGGAAGCCACCAGACTTGGTCCATTACCATGTTATGGGTGGGGAAACTAAAGTAATGTACCTAAGGGAAGTAGCAAAGTAAGAACTTGGCCTAGGGCTGACTGTTCTGAAACACAAAGTCCTTTCCCCCATCCCTTGCAAAGTGTGCTCTTTGAATATGCATTTCCACGTACTTTCTATAAATGATTTGAGCCCCAAGATGTTCTGGGAGCCCCGAGGTGTTCTGGGAGCTCTGAGGAGGAACTAGAACCAAAGCTGGGCCCAGAGAAGGCCTTTACATTGGAATGGAGCAGAGTTATTCACTTTCATCTCACTGATATAGAAATCAGAGCTAGTCAGAGACAGGGCTGGCTTTCCAAAGGAGATACATGTGTATTCCCTACTAATAAAGACAGGAGTATAAAACATCCTAACCCAAGGACATGTCCATGACATTGAGGAGACTAGACAGACCCATGAATCAATTGTTCTACCTCAGCAACCATAGCTCCCGAGGGCTGCTTCCACTGTGGTATCTTTAATCCTGGGCTTCTTTGACACACCGAGAACCCAGTGGCATTCTGACCCCTGCTTCCTTCCCTTTTCTAGAGCCTGGCATAACACACAGGGCTGAGCCAGCCTTAGAGGCTGGCAGACCCCGCCCTTTTCCCTGGGCCAAATTGTTCTTCAGGGGCCGAGAAGGCATAGGTGGGCAGAATCCTCCCAGGAAGGAATTAGTTCATCTGATAAACTCACTCCCAATTAGGACTGGGAGTATTTACATTTTATTTTTTAAATTTTTATTGTTTGAGTTGGGGTCTCACTCCATTACCCAGGCTGCACTACAGTGGCAAGATCACAGTTCACTGCAGTCTCAACCTCACGGGCTCAGGTGATCCTCCCACCTCAGCCTTCCAAATAGCTGGGGCTACAAGCAGGTGCCACTATGCCGGGCTAGCTTTTTTTTTTTGAGTTGGAGTCTCACTCTGTCACCTAGGCTGGAGTGCAATGGCATGCTCACGGCCACTGCAGCCTCGACCTGCTGGGCATAGGTGATCCTTCCGCCTCAGCCTTCCAAGTAGCTGGAACTACAGGCATGTGCCACCATGCCTGGCTAATTTTTTTGATTTATTGTATAGATGAGGTCTCACCAAGTTGCCCAGACTGGTCTTGATCCCATGGGCTCAGGCAAGCCTCTCACCTCAGCTTTCCCACCTCAGCTGGGATTATAGGCATGAGTCACAGCATCCGGGCATTTTTAAAAAATTGTTTTGTGGAGACGAGGTCTCCCTATGTTGCTCAAGGCTGGACTTGAACTTCTGGGCTCAAGCAATCCTCCTGTTTCAGCCTCTCAATGTGCTGGAATCACAGGCATGAGCTCTGTGGCCTATATTTGCATTTTAAAAATGCAAAGTCTGGGGGCAAGTAAATGCATAACAAGAAGGAATAAGTCTAGAGGCAGCAGACCTTCTAGGGGGTGGGGGTGTTGCGGGTTGTAGCAGGAACACCTGACACAAAATTCACCACAGAAAATCCAGCCTGCTACCTCTTCATGTAGAGAAATCTGTAGTCCTTCTGCTTCTGGTGCCTAGGAGTGGAGCAGGGTGGCTAGAAGCCAATTTATTAGTTTCCCAAATCCTGTATCTTCCAGGATCAGATGTGCTAACCCTGGCCAAGAAGTTTCCAGCTCCTGCTAACCATCAACTCAAACTGATTCTAGCCACAGATCCAGAATGCTGGCAGAAGGGGGCTAGGGAGTGCTTGGCATGCAGCTGACCCTGAGCAGGTTTAATGTAAATATGGACACACAAAGGTAGAGTTAAGCCTGGGAACTGACAGTTCAGTTGACCTTAAAGGCATGAAGATGTAAAAAACATCCACACCCACAGCTGGCAGATAGCCTCTGTGTCCTTCTAAGGTTCCTTGTGCCTCCAATCAGATGGTGTCCAGCCTGAGAAGTCACCAAGCCCCCTACCTCTGCCAACAGTGAGCTAAGGATGTACAAGGACTGGCCCCACAGATGAGGCACCTTTCCCAGAGGAACTCTGTCCACTGTGTGAGGATTCTTGTACTCTTCATCCACCTAGAAGAGAGAAAAACCCAAAGTCAGAATGTCAGAGGATAAAGTGGCCAATGACTCCTTACTCTGAGAAGTGCTTTGAAGATTTAAAATATGGTACTACTCACCCTCCAGACTAATTCTGTGCAGGCGCCAGGAGCAGAAGGTGGGGAGGCAAGGCCCCTCTCTCAGGCCATATAGCTATAAGCAGCAGAGGTGGAACTCAAATCCAGGTCTGTGTCCAGGCCAGTACTCGCTCTACAAGCACACTCAAGGCAACAGGCACTGGAAGCCTGGCCTGCGTTCTTTATACCCATCTCTGGGCAATGGGAAGTTTCTTAGCTCCTGCTCACTTTTGGTTATATTACATATGGGAAATGACCTAAAACCAGCTTACAGCCTTGAAAGTGCATCGCTGGATGCCAGGTCAGTTTCTTCTAGCCTATCCCCAGGGGTTTCTATACTGTGTGCCTAATTCAAGAGAATTACCAGAAGGTGGCACTATTTACCGAGAAAAAACAATTGTACTCCTAGACTGCTAACCCTCCCTCAGGGCTCAAAGAGCTGAGTTCACTGGGGGCTTTTGTCTCATAAAAAGAAGCTTCAGTCCTCTTTCTGGAGGATAGTGCTGGCTGCACATTGTAAGTTAGTCTGCAACTTTCTCTCTTCTAAACTCCATGCTGGCCTTTGAGTTTTTAGGCATCACAATATTGGTTGGGGGTAACATCAGTAACTACTTTTTGCCTCCAGAAAACATTAAAACATTAAGTCGATCGAAGAAGATAGGAAACACTCATCCTTCTCCAAGGGGGAAAATCACACCATGAGGGGAGTTATTTTGTGTTTATGGATTAGTCAATGATATTAACTTATTTAGTAAAATTTTAATTTTTTTCAGTTGTAGTAAACTAAGAATACCTTAAGTGCATAAACTGAGCAGAATTAAATGTTAGTAATCAAATAGGATAGCAGTGTGGAAGGAGATTCTTCAAATGTCATAATGACTGTTTTGGGGCAGTAGGACTACAGATAATATTTTCTTCTGTCTATAGAATTCTGGATGTTTTGTAGTGTGCCGGATTACTTTTATAATAATCAGATAACCCGTTAAAACCATTTAAAATATAAGTTGTGTCAAGGAAGACAGTCAAGATCTAGAATGAGGAATATTCCATGCAAAGAACAGAAAGCAGACAAGGTGTCCAGGTCACAAGACAGTCTGGCTCTGCCCATCTCCCATGCATGGAGAGAAGGTCCAGGCATCCCTCTCTGCACCTCTCTCCACTTCAATCCATCCGAACTGTTTGCACGTCCTCAAAGGCACCATGCCTCTGCCGCCACCACTCCTGTGGCTGCCCTGGGTCTCACAGACCAGCTCCTCTGGCTCCCACTAGCCTGCAAGCTTGCAGAGATGAGACTGATGCTATAGCCACCTCTGCGTCCTAGTACTCAGCCTGGTGCATACTTTCATTAGTTTCCTGCTGTCCATGGAGGGCCCATGGATGGTGGTGTGTTGCCCAAGCACATATAGCTGAGAAAATGGGTGAGGCTGGCATCCAAGCTGCATGCCACCCTGGCCCGGGGCTGTGGCCACTCTGAGAATCAGACCCTTTTTCTAATTTACACATAGTTGCTATATGGGCCTGTGGTGGCCCTGTCTGTAGGAATCCTTCCCAGTAGTCCTTCCCTACTTGTTATTGATATGATTGATGAACCCTCCCAGCTGTCATCTGGAAGCAGCCAACACAAAATGCAGTCAATGTAAAAGAGTTTCCAAAATCAGTGCCCAGCACACAAGTGTAAACATGCTGAGGACATTGTAATGACAAGTAGAAACTTGAAGGTCAGTGTGGAGCTTAGAAGAGAGAAAGCTGTGGAGTAATTTTTTACAATTTGTAGCCAGTACTGCTCATCACAAAGAAAAGTGGAGTCTATAACATCTCATACATACTATTGTCAGTAAAATGTGCCTTCTAGCAGGACAGGGCTGGTTATTCTCTACCATAAAAAAGGCAAAATACTCCTGAAGTCATTTATTTTCCCTTGCTCTGCTTCCGGTTGCAAATTGTCTCCCATTACTAATGTTGTTTTGCCAAATGTCTCAGTACAGGAAAAGGAGCAACCTGAACAGGGAACATGAGCATGTAGTTGGCTGGAAAATAAACCTGCCCCCACTGTCAGCCCTTCCCCCACCCACACATCCGCATTACACATGCGCAGAGTTCTAGGATTAGGACACTAGGAGAGAAAACAGTCTCGGCAGGTTCCCTAGCCTGATTTGTACAGTGAGGGAAGACTAGTTCTTGTCTATGGTCTTGCCCTTAACCTGGAACAAAATCAGTCCTGAGAGAACTTGGATGATATGAGTTGTCCGTTCATGCTGGGATGAGGGAGCTATTAACATTCCAGAGCTCAGGGCTAAGGGTCCAGGCGCAGTGAGACTACCTGGAAGGACAGAGCCACCTAAAGGGGCAGCCCAGTACATCTGCCAGTGAACCAAGTGGGCTGTTATGAAGACAGCCCTCACAGTGGCTTATTCTCCTTCTCATGGAAACACTGCACCTGCTTTTGATTTTCTAGTTGGTTTAACTGGCTCAATTATCTAACACATAATAGTTCATTTCAGATTAAATTAAGGCCCAAAGCAACACACAGTGGTACCTTTCTTGCCTTAAGGGTCAAGTATCAGACTCCTTTAAAATTGTTCTATGCAAAAATAAAGGGAAATCCACTATCCTGCTGCTTTTGGAAGCCCAGCAAGAGCTTCCACTGTGTAGATATTTCCATTACCTGGAAATGTACCACCCATTAGGAAGAGGTGTGGGATTGTGGGGAAGCCCTGAAGAAGGGGGTCTGGTCCCAGTGCAGAACCTAGTGCTGTATGAGCTCTGGAAGTTTCCATATCCCCTCTGAGCTGAGGCAGATATTTCCAAACGTCCCTGCCAGCCCTTTGGATATGTGCATATGGGCCTGTTTCAACCTCACTAAATCCTAGAATTCTTTTCTTCTAACCCAAGTCACTCCAGACTCTGTTAATTTTGAGGAAGACACAGCTCCTGATGGCCTTTTCATCCCACAAACATGACAATGAAGTGTTGAAGCATCAGGAGCATCTGAGGAACAGACAGCCTGGAATCGAGAATTCTTTTCTTCTAACCATGAGATGTTTACAGAGAAATATTCCCACCAAGATATATAGGTCTATCATTACCCAACTTAGGAAACTGGATAGAACAAAACTATCTCTGGGCATCTTCTTAGAACTGGATGGTTTTTTCTCTCCCTGATGTAGAATGACTTCTAACTGATGACTCAAACTCTCACTTGGAAACTGCTTGAATCCAAAGAAGAGATTCTCAGCTATCCCTATACATCAAGCTTCTTAGTCTATGGAAATACGTGGGAGTATGGTGTGCAAAACGGTTTTGTGCTCTCAAGAGTGCCTTCTGCCTGGGATTGGGGGAGGGACAGTTATCCTCTGAAGGTCTTCAACGGCCTTGTTGTGATAGACAGAAACACTAAGGCTTTGGAAACCACTTCTCCTGGAGAAAAAGCATTCGCTGGGTCTAAAAAGGAGATGAGGAACATCGACAGGCCAAGCACCAAGTCACTTCGTTCTAGATAAGTGGAGCAAATGGCTTCACGCCCCAGTTACCTTGTTAGGCGGGACAGCATAGAGTTCTGGCATCAGGTGGATCCCATTCTTGCCTCTGATTAATATTCCTTCCAGAGCCTCTCGGTACTCTTGGACCTGGAAAATAGCCCCATTGCCCACAGTAAAAAAGAGATCTGCTTATGAATGCTGTAACAGCAGTGCAGGATAGAAAAACAGCTCTCTTGGCAACAGACTAGGAGTTGGACACAGGGCAAAGAAATGCACAAATATCCTCAGTTCCAGGAGTGCAGGAGGGACACTTACAATGTTAGATGGTGTAAAGGTTAGAGGAGCTAAACATGATTGTTTCTCCCTTGAGTGTGTCTAAGCTCAATCCCACCTGTCAAACTTCTGGGGAAAGGGATAGAGCATCCCATCATGCATTAGCTGTTTTTTCCTCAGGATTCCTACAATACTCACATCTATACTGTTTTTCAGACATCTTTCCTGAGTTGTCTTTAACTTATAATTTAAATTTTTCACTCTTGACTTCTCATATATTTAAATTCTGTCTCATCAATCAGATTATAAACTTCTTGGAGGAGAGGAAGCCATATCTTCAGCAGTGAATCCCATTTCCATCTATTGGTAGTTTTCCACGTAAAAGGTGCTCATTACTGTTTAGCCATAAAAAATAATGAAATCCTGTCATTTGCAGAAAATAGATGGAACTGGAGGAACTGCTGTTTAGTGAAATAAACCAGGCACAGAAAGACAAATATTGCATGTTCTCACTAAAAAAAAAAAAAAAAAAAAAAAAAATTCACTGAAACCAAACGCAGCCTCTCACAACACTAACTGGTACACTGATGCCAATGGGTTCCCAGAACACTTCCCTAGTGGGGAAAGCCAGTACTACAAGGGGCTCGCCTATAATTTTGGTTTTTTTGGGGGGTCCTTCCTTGTATTATATATTTATAAATATCTAGATGATTTGAAATATTCCCAACACAAAGAAATGATAAATAGTTGAGATGATGGATATCCTAAATACCCTGATTTGATCATTACATATTGAATGCATGTAACAAAATATCATATGTACCCCATAAATAGGTACAAATATTATGCACTAATGAAAATAATCTTTAAAAGCATTCATTCACTATTTATTGCTCAAGAAACATTCCTAAACAAATCTAATATGAGAAAAAGGAAATATATACTATGATCCAGGTACACCGATTCTTAAAATGTACTACCCAATATAACAAAAGCTGTTGACACAAACATTTCCTATTAAATTAAAAAGGCAGCAATAAAAATTGATATATTACAAGGTTAAAAAAAAGAAGGGGGAAAAAACCCTTAACCAGCCACTCAGCTATTTAACAGATTCTTCTTTGGAGAATGCAGTCGAATGCCTTCCAGGTCTCTCTTCATTTTAAACTAGTGGATGGCAAAGCAGGACCACCGAGTGTATCATTTTTTTTTTTAATTTTTTCTTTTTGAGTTGGAGTCTCACTCTGTTGCCCAGACTGGAGTGCAGTGGCCGCTCCCGGCCACCGCAGCCTCGACCTGCTGGGCTCCGGCGATCCTTCCGCCTCAGTCTTCCAAGTAGCTGGAACGACAGGCGCGTGCCACCACACCCAGCTAATTTTTGATTTATTGTAGAAATGCGGTCTCGCCAAGTTGCCCAGGCGGGTCTCGAACCTGCGGGCTTAGGCAATCCACTCACCTCAGCCTCCCAAAGGCACGGGATTACAGGCTGAGCCACATTTTAAAAGTGTCATTGGGCAATAAGTGGGAAAGACAGCACAGGTGTGGAGTAGTAGTGAGGCTTACAAAACAAGATGCTAAGCACTGTCGTTTTCCTCTCCTCAGCTTCCCGCCCCCCCCCCATTGTTAACCTTGCTCACAATTGAAATTCAAAGTCAATTCTTTCAGAGATCTTTCCATTCTGGGATTTAAAAAACCCAGAAAACCCACAATAATTACTAAAGCCTAAGAAAAAGAATTAACAACGAGAGAATATTAATATTTTAAGCTTACTGCTGGTTCTGAAGTCCCTCAGCATTCCTGAGCACGGGAGCTTTCAAAAGCCAAAATGAATCTCTGATTGCTCATTACCCCCTATGATCAGATACAGCTGAAAAGATGGCAAGGTGACTGAGTTTGTCATTCATTCATGCAAGCTTCACAAGGGGTAGGTTCTGCTCTACAAAGTAAGCTCAGTGTTTAGCACAGCACATGGTTCCAAGTAGAAGCTAAAGAAATGTGTCTTGAAAAAATAAGCATGGCACTAACAGATATTTACTATGCACTAGGCACAGAAAACATCTGTGAACTGGATAGACACATTCTCTACCAGGGTCCTTTGACAGGTAAGTGGGAGATGAAATACAGTATGACCCATGCTGTTATAGGTGTTGTGGGGCGTAGGGTCACCTGACTCAACTTTTAGGGTTGGAGAAGGTGTTCTCAAAGAAGAGACACTTACAATGGACCAAGTGAAAGAGTGAAGGGCAGTTGGGGTAGAAAAGAATGTCCCAGGCCTTTGAGAAGAGAGGATAGAGTATGGCTTGTTTAAAAGACTGCAAGAATTTCAGTGTGCTTGCATCATAGGACTCAAGAAAGGAAATAAATAGTAAGAAATCAGGCTAATGTAAAAACAGGGACCTGATCATATGGAACTCTACAAAACACATGAAATGCTTGTACTTCATCCCAAAAGCAATCAGAAAGTCATTCAAAGTTTTTAAGCAATGCAACATAACCTAATTTGCCTTTAAATAAGATCACTCTGGCAAGGGTAAGGAGAATGGAAACAGCAGGAAGCCAGGGTGGAGGCTAGGAGATCAGTTAAGAGGTTGTTATATTAAGTAAGATACATCTGAGAACACCCTAAACTAGAGATAAGACAGCAAAAGCACTGGCTGATCTGGAAAGAACTCACAACAAAATCTGCCTGTAAGAGACAGTTCTTTGCTGGTTCCTGATGAACCATGCCTCCTAGTATTCATCCCTAGTCTAGACCCCTCCCTGCTGAATAGAGGATGGCCCTTTAACCAACTGAATGTGATGAAAGTGACACTTTGTCAGTTCCAGGCAAAGCTTGGGAGCTTCTGCTTTTGCATTCTAGGGGGAAGACAACCACCATGTCTAATGGCCCAGGGACTACAATGCTGTGAGAAGCCCAAGCTAGTCACATGGAGGAGAACCAAGTTCCCAGCCAACAGCAAAGCTGAGCTCCCTGCATCAGCTGACATCCAGCATCAACCAACCCTGTGAATGAGGCCATCTTAGAAGTAGATCCTCCAGCCCCATGGAGCCATCCCAACTAACAGCAGGTAAAGCAGAGACAACCTGTCCTTGCCAGGCCCTGTCCGTATTGCAGAATCATGAGCAAATAAATAAAATAGCTGCTGCTTTAATTTACTAAGTTTTGGGGAGGTTTGTTAAGTGGCAACAGATAATCCAAACAGTGACCTAAATTCTTGCATAATCTTACAGTCTAAAAATAATCAAACCACTAGTGGAATGAAAATGCTTATTATCAACATAACACTCAGTGTTTTCTCACCTGAACAGCATCACTGTTGAAGACTCCTTCTATTATAAAATATGTCCAGAACACAGGCCACTCACATTCTATGTTTTCAAACAGCTTGAGTTCAGCAGGATCATAATGTAATCGGTTTGGGTCCTGGAATCAAAGAAGTCAGAATGTCTAAAGGTGATGTCAGATCACATAAACAATACCACCATGCCTCACTGGGTTTCCCTTGTATGGTATAACATAGCTTTGAGGTTGGTATGATTAGGATTTTAATATAATGAGGAGATGCTATTTTTGGCAGTTTTCCATGGTAAAATTTCAGAAGGTAAATCAGAAACATACATAAGACTCCTTGGTAGTTTATTATACTAAAGCTTCCTATATATCTCTAACGAATAAATAACAGTTTGCCTATCACAGAGCTTGGCAGATGATCTGTTTTATTTATATCTTTATAATAGTCACTCTGACAAAGAAAGGAAGAAGCTCAGTTAGTCTTTAAGAAAAAAGTATGAGCCATGGAAAGTCTGTCTCTGTCTACAAGGTGGTTTTAAATGACCAGTTCACTGTCCTCCTGATGATCTTACTATTCTGCTGCCTAATTCCAGGCTTGCTGACTCCAAAATTAATACCTCCCTTTCCAATATTCCAACATACAATTATAATCAATAGAGAGAATACAACACAGTGGCAACTTAGAGATAAAACAGTTAAATCATAAGAAATGATATTGAAATACAACCTCTCTTGGAGTTTTATAACCATCTCGAAGGAAGCGACAGCATCCATAACGCCCCTAATAAGATAAAGAAATAAAATACATTTGATGAGGTCAGAGGAAATTTTTTGCCTTTTTATTTTAATTCAAGTCAGTCCTATATTCTTTTTACCATTAATCTTCTAGTGATTAATTTCATACAGAGTGCTCTTTGCTATCAGTATAGTTATTTTAGGTAATAAACAAAGAAAATTCAGGTTTGAACAGCACTTGGAAGGGAATGTCAAAACATTCCATTGGAGTATCAGGGTTGCAAAAGTGATTACTAAGAGCTCAGTGAATGACCATTCTTTCATTCTGATTTATTGTAGTACACAAAGATGCAAAGGGACCCTCACTATTTGGAGAAAACACCAAGACAGATATTTGGACTGGTTTGCTCCTACTTGAGAGATTATAAAGCTAAAAGGACATTCCCCACACTCCTTGCAGTTAGGTTTTGGCTTGAGAAGAGGCTCTGCTAGTCAGATGTTCCCCTGCAAGGCTTGGTAGGGAAGTAGGGAGGGGATCCCTGTGTTTAGGACTGTCACTGCTGGTTTTCCTGCTGCAGGCTCCAGTGTTCTGCTCCAGCTTCCTGGGTACCAAGAAAAGAGGGCAGGGGCAGCACTTTCTTAATCTGACCCCCAATCCCTGGATTGCAGTGGTGGGTGTCCATTCTCCACTTTCTTTTTCTTTTTCTTTTTGAGTCAGAGTCTCACTCTGTCACCCAGGCTGGTGTGCAGTGGCACACTCATGGCCACCACAGCCTCAACCTCCTGGGCTCAGGTGATCCTTCTACCTCAGCCTTCCAAGTAGCTGGAACCACAGGTGTGCGCCACCACACCCAGCTATTTTTTTTTAATTTATTGTAGAGACGAGATCTCGCCAAGTTGCCCAGGTTGGTCCCAAACCCCTGGACTCAGGCAATCCTCTCGCCTCAGCCTCCCAAAGTGCTGGGATTACAGGCATGAGCCACCGTGCCCATCAATCCTCCAGTTTCTTAAGTGTGTAGGGGCTGCTGCAGCAGATGTTGCTCCAGTGCTGGCTGTGGGGGCCACCATGCCCTTAGCGGCCAGCGCAGCACTGCTGTGGGAGTCATCCCAGGAGGCTTAGCCTAGAGCCTGCTCTTCTTATGAACACTTTGTTCCCTGCAGTGGCTCCCTTCCTACTTCAGCTACCTAAAGAGGACTCTTCTCCACTGCACTCTGACTGCTACAACTGCCTTCTTTGGGGAAGATGAATAGAGACATAGGGACTCAAAGGGACAAAAGCATTTTTTCCCTGAATCTAACTAAGTAGGACAATCAACATGTAGATTTCAGCATAGGAGATTATGTTCTTTGATGATTTTACTGATAATTTCAGTAGGCTGGAGTATGGAATAACATCCTCCATTTAGTGCAGTGTGTCATACTTACTGCATTTCACCACAGAACAGGGATTTTTTTTTTAACCTGAATGTAACTTTGGGGTGGCCAAGTCCCCTGAGAATGTGTTTAAAGTTTGAGGACACTGGGACACGTGCACGTATGTTTTTTCTGGCAGTGACTCCATAGCTTTCATGAGATTCTCAAAGGAGTCTGTGACCTCCCAAGGGTTAAGAGGCTCTGCCTTATAAGCACCATAGTGGCAAGAATTGGAGTTCAAATGTGCCATTTGAGGGCAGGTTCTGATACTTAAGGAGAGAACCAAGTCAAGCCACTAAATCACTCTAAGATTTTGTTTTCTCGCCTGCAGACTCAGCTTTGGATACTTTATGAGTCCACTTAGCTAAACCAAACCATTAATCTCATGGAGAACCAAGGCATGGATGAGCTGCTCCATGTCATCATGTGAAACTGGTACTTAACACAGGACAGAAGAGCACCAGTGTGATCGATGCTTACCTGGAGCTTGGAAATGATTTCATTTTTGGTCACATTCACAAGGTTTACATCTTCCACTGCGAAGGCCGGGAAGGAAATAATGGAAAGAAGTCCAGCATCAATCTCTTTAGATGTCGATGCTCTCGGCAGCATGGAGAACAGAATAGACTGAAAAACAAAGAGGTGGTTTAACCTGGAGAAGCACTCATAGTTAGATGCTGTATCTAGAGACCATGAGCTTAGCCCCAAGAGAACATTTAAATGAGGTTTCAAATTTTGAGTAGAGTTTTGTCCTACCAACATGACCCCTGCTGGCCAACCCTACCTACCCAGCCAATGAACTGAAAAGTAGAGGGTTGGGGAGAGCATGGTACTGCCTGGCACCTGTGCTGAGAACTACATGTCTTCTTTCCATACATTCTGTTGACCTTGCCAGACCCTTAGGACACACAGGGGAGGAACTACAGGGCTACCTATGTCAGCAGGCTAAGGTGTCCTGGCTATGAAGATAAACACCAGAAAAGAACATGCATATGGAGCCAACATGTAGAAATGTCTGGCTTCTGTGGAATGTGACCAGTTGAGGTGGGTGACCCAGAAACCACTTCTAGAAGATTTCAGGCAAAATGGTAAATAACAGGATTAGTGTGGTCCTAGAATCTTTCTAGGGTTACTTAGAGGTACTATAATATGGCCTATTATAAGGTAGCTGAATTAGGCACTATAAACTTGGATAGAAGCTGAAATTCTAAGGAAAAGTTAGGGAAGGGCAAGGAACTAATGCTGCACTCTAACATGTATAAACATGAGGCTAGACCCCTGCAAACACAAGCTCATTAAAGCTTTCATATGAAGTCACTGGGTACTGCTGGGGGGGGAGGGAGGGAGGAGGATAGGAGGTACATGACAACACAAAGGGCACCTGGTCCACTTCCAGGGTGAGTGAAGGTTACCTAGAAGCCCAAACTTCACCTTCAAGCAGCCTACTTATGTAGTTAACCCTCACTTGTACCCCCACAACTCTATAATAAATAAATTTAAATAAAAAGTCTTTCATATGAGGAAGAACTTGGGGTATTACGTCCAATTCATGCCTGAGGACTCTGAGACACCCAAATATAGAGACTCATGCCTAAGGGCACGTAGCTAGTAAGTGACAAAGTTAGGATTCTAATCCAGGGCCAGCTGCCTGCAACATTCATACATTGCTACTAGACTACACATCTATTAAGACTCACACCAGCTTGACTCTATTAGACTATTAAACTACAGCCAACTGACTCCTGGGCCTTGTTCTTTAATCTCGCTTCCCTAGGCTTTCTCTGCCTGGAAACACAACATCCCACCAGAAGCTCTCCATTCACAAGTTTTTATTTATTTCACCCACTTTAGTCTTGGTACATTACCTCTCACACAGTGAGGCCTCACTAAATGAGAGTTTGCTGATTTTCTAGTATTGATGACTTACTGTCTGCTTACTGGAGTCCCCCAGTCTGTATCAAATCACTCTTTTCCCTGATCTGTATTTCATGGAGGTTCTACTAATTTCCCATCTCTTCTCCACTACCCATTCCGCCCATCCCCAACTGCGCCCTGCTGAGTGAACTCATGTTTACTCATCATTCAATTTGAGGGCACTGTAAAATAAACCCGAGAGAAAACGACCTATGTGCTCAAAAAACATAAAACACATTTTGCCTCCAGCAAAACAAAGCTGCTTTGATTGCTGACTCCATAGAGGCAGCAGTATCCTGTCTTATGTTTGCGCAGTCAGTACTTTTTAGTCTACAAAATGCTTAGATTGTAGAAGCTGACTTACTCTGATACTTACAACCATCTTGTGAGGCAGGAGGAGAGGATCCCAGGATACCCATTATATGGATGAGGAAACTGAAGTTCAAAGAAACCAAATAGTATCACCAAGCTAGACAGGTGGGGAACCTGAACTGGAGCCCAGGTCCTGTACTCCAGAACTCTCCTTCCCTACTCTCTGGAATGCAAGAGGCTAGCTGAGTTGTTACCTGGCAGTGCTCAACCTCATCAGGCAGGACATGGATCACTGACTTGCGTCCTCCATGGGCTCCAAAAAGGTCCAGCTCATCAATTGCCTCAAGAGCTGCCTACAAACATAGGCATGAATTACTTTTTCTTCCTGATAAACATATACTCCAATATCTGGTATTCCTTTTTCATTAAGCAACTAGCATACGTGTTTCCCCAAAGGTGATGAAACACATCTTTAAGATCCAGCTAAAGAGTCCTATAGTCATGTTCTATCCTTATTTTCAGTGGATCAGAGCTTTCCTCTATGTTGCAGCTCATTGCAGGAACTAGAAAGAAAAAAACAGGAAAATATTTCCCTAAATGAAGGTAGTATTCTACCAAAAAAGGAAATATTAACAAGTTCATAACGTTGTGAGTGTGAGCGTTGTGTGCGTGTGTGTGTCACTAAATTCATGGTCAGCTTTCCTCTCAACTACTTTAGTGGTTAACTTCAAACATTAGCACATCTGGCACCTCAGAAAGCAAATGCTTTTAGTAATAAGTACATTTTCTGTCTGTTTACTTTAACAGATCATATTTACTGTTGCTTTAAAAACTCGGGCTCTGGAGCCTTTCCTCTCTTCAAAAAATATATTTCAGGCTGGGTGTGGTGGTTTACATGGTGGCCTATAATCTCAGCACTTTGGGAAGCTGAGGCGGGAAACTTGAGCCCAGAAGTTCGAGACTAGCCTAGGCAACATAGCAAGAACTCGTCTCTAAAAAAAAAAAAAAAAATTAGAATTAGTTGGGTGTGGTGGTAACATGCCTACAGTCTCAGATACTCGGGAGGCTAAGGCAGAAGGATCACCTGAACCCAGGAGATGGGGGCTGCAGTAAGCTATGATTGTGCCATTGCACTCCAGCCTGGGCAACAGACTGACTCCAACTCAAAAAAATAAAACACGAAAGACTTCAGTCTTGAGAAGCAGAGGGCAAGGAGGCGTGCTAAATGACTACTGCAAGAGATGCAAACTGGTGGCCCACACATTGAATCTGTCCCATAGGTGTGTTTTGCTTGGCTTGAAGAGTATTTTTAAATAGTTTAAATGGGATTACCTATAGGGAAAGATCCCAGTGTCCCCAGTACCCCTGCTATCTTGCTATCTGAATAGCTTCACTAGTTATTGTTACTTGCCTGACCCTGTAGACTTTTGAACATGTGAGCCCAATCTACAAAGTGATCATATTCTTCAGTCCTCTCTATGTTCCAGGAAAGAAGACTGAACGTCATACATGCAGTTTCTTAAACGACAGTGAGAGCTAAGACCTGTGGGTACTAACAATGGTCAACAAGGACTGGGCATTCTTACTTTCTGCCACATGCAGATTTCAGCATAGGAAACCTACTTTCTTCACCTATAATTTCAGCTGGCTGGGGTATATGTGCCACTTGAATTTCACATAACTGCTGCTGACTTTTGAAAAAATGGGCTAATCAGATTAAATCCAAACTACTAATGAAGAGAACCAAATCAAAGCAGTAAAAAATGCACAGAAGAACAAACAGGATGACAGTCACCTTGGCCATTCCTACAGAGCTTGCATTTAATTCCGGAATGCCCTGATTAGTCTTATCTCCACGCTCCCACATTCCATAATCCTAGGAGAGAAAAAGGTGGTAATCAGAGTGGCAAAAGAGGCATATGAGAAGTGCTTTGGAAAAATGCTTCCTTTATGTTACAAAGGGCATAATGAAACATGAGTATATCTTCTCGAAGGTTTTACATATTCATACTGTGTTCTTACTCAATTTTAGTTCACGTGACCTCTATGCAGAAATTTAGAAGAAAATAAGTGGAACAAAAGTTCATGTAACGACACTCATACTTCTTATTTCTAAAAGGTATTAAGTCATAAAAAACTAGATTTGTGGAGAACAAAATGTTTTATTTATCTTAAAATCAAATAAAATGCTGCCCCTGTTTAGCCAATGCCTTTGAACTTATATTAAATTGTAAGATAGAATAAAGACACTTTAACACATGGGTTATAATGAGTCAAAGCCAGCAAAAGCATTTAAAACAATTTAATATTTATTTTTAGCTATACCTCTTGGTTAAAAAAAAAAAAGCTCAGAAAGTAATGGGAGCCAAAGTCAAAACTGAGGCACAGAACACTGAAATTGCATGGCATTTAAAAACCAAGTAAAAGGAATTGGCTCAGAATGCTGTCACACAGGGGACTTCATACATGTGTACTTAAATTTTATAATTCATATTCTCATTTAAAAACCCATGTATTAGATGCTGTTTTGAAATGATGCTACATGCACCACTGAAAGCTCACAACACAACAAGAACAGGACTAATGCCAGTATTTCAGTCTTTATTTTTTTCATCAAAGAAGAACATTTTCAAAATATGGAAATTGGGCTGGGTGTCGTGGCTCACATCTATAATTCCAGCACATTGGGAGGCTGAGGTGGGAAGATTGCTTGAGTCCAGGAGTTTGAGATCAGCTTAGGCAACATAGCAAAACCTCAACTTTACAAAAAAAAAAAAATCAGCCAGGTGTGGTGGTGTGCACCTATAGTCCCAGCTACTTGGGAGGCTGAGGTGGAAGGATCGCCTGAGCCCAGGAGGTTGAGGCTGTGGTGAGTGGTGAGCCGTGATCGTGCCATTACACTCCAGCCTGAGTGACAGAGAGACCTTGACCCTCCCCCCAAAAAGTAAAAAGTGAGACTTTGCTTTTCTAGAGCAACTCTGGACTCTTCCCTGCTGAGCACACCTTACAGGGGAGCCCAGGATTCTTTTCTTCAGCACTCCTCTCCCTGGGCCTTCCTGTGCTCCAACCCAGTGTTACTCCCACCCAGTGACAAGTGACTCGTCCTCAGCAACTGCTTCCATCACTTCACTCCCCTGCTTCAAAGTCTAAAATGGCCAATGGTTTACTCCCTAATGGACTGCATTCACATGTCTCTCTCAGGACGGTCATGCCTCTGTGACTGGGCTTCTCCCCCTGCACACCCACAAGCTGACCTTATTTTCTACTCTTTTCCAGTATCAACTTTCACCCTAAGTCTGCTCCTTTACTCTGCACCTTTCTCCCAAGCACCTCTAGCCCACCTACCCACACTTAGGGCCTGATTCTGCCTCCAGCTATACCCACACACAAACGCCCTTTCTCCTCCCTTCTGCTTACGTAGACCCTGTTCAGCTCCAAGGTCTAGCTAAAGGCCTACCCTTTCCATAAAGACTTCTCAAGTTTCTTTAGCCTGGGGTTTGTCAATTTCAGCACTAGTGACATTTTGAGCCAGATAATTCTGCATCATGTGGGGCGTCCTGTGCATTGTAGGATGTTCAGCAGCATCCTTGGCCTCAGCCCATTAGATGTCAGTAGCACTTCCTCCCCCAGGTGTGACAACCAAAAAATGTCTCCTGACATTGCCAAGAAATCCCTGGGAGGGCAAAATTGCCCCTGGTTGAGAGTCACTGCTTTAGACCTGGTGTCAGCAAACTATGGCCCTTGGACTACATCTAGTTTGCCACCTATTTCCATAAAGTCTATTTTGGACACAGCCATGCTCATTTGTTTATGTGGTGTCTATGGCTACTTCTATTCTACAAAAACAAAAGCAAGTAGCTGCAACAGAGACCACAGGGCCTGCAAAGCTGAAAATATTTACTCTCTCACCCTTTGCAGAAAAAGTTTGCTGACCTTCCTTTAGACCATGTGGCTTCAAAACAAGCAAAAAACGAACAAACAAACAAACAACTTTTGCCCTTTCCCTACTGTCCCGACTTTTAGCTTTGCACATTACAGTTGTTGTGTAAAGGTGCATCGGGCTTTGCCTTCCAAACCAGATAGAAGCCTAGAGGAAGTAGGGTTTATACACATTTACACCCACACAGATCTGGCCCAGGTCAGGGCTCTGCCTAGCTTGGGTCCCTCTACCCATGGCCCAGTTAGGATGACCCTCATGGCACCCCTGCTCTCACCAAGATGCTAATGCTGCTATTTCTCCCCAGCTCAGGCCAGCCCATATGCATCCTGCAGGATATTTTAGGGTCTTATTTAAAACAAGCAGAACTAATTCAGACAGAGCATATAGGGCATTCCAAGAACATAAAACCCTCAACTGTATTCCAGGACAAAAATGTGCACTTTGTTTGTGGAGCTGACACAATCCTATAGCTTAGTCTTGCTAACCCTCTGGTCAGCCCCAAACAGCCTGGTCCTCAACACACTGTGTGATTTTCACTCTTTTTGGTGACTAGATACCTGAAAAGACCACCAGGGTTGACACTTACAGCGACTTTATATGCAGCTTCAATGTAAAAAACAAGGTTCTGGATGAAGGCCACCTCGTCTAGGGTGAAAATGATGCGTAAGCCTAGTCAGGACAAACAGACAATGAGGTTATGAAGTTTTGTTTTGAAGAGAGAGCTGCCAATTACAGATTACAAATATCACACTAGGAAATAAATAATTTTACCCTCATTTTCATTTTTCTTCCTAAAGCATCAAAAATGAAGTCTGAAGTAAGTCATAACAGTTAATGTCTAATCTCAGAAAGAGGAAGAAGAGAGGGAGGGGGTAGGGAGGAAAGAAGGAAGAAGGGAAGAAAGGAAAAAGGGAGAAAGGGAAGGAGGGAGGGGAGGGGAAGGGAAGGGAGGAGAAGGGAGGGGGAGGGGAGGAGAGGCGAGAGGGCTCCATTTTCCAATGAGTGGATGAATAGAAAGGGCTGAAAGAGATGTGGAGCCTGTGGTACGTGCTGGAATGGCACAGAGAAGTTTCCAATAAAGCAAGGATTTTAGCCCAGAAGAACTAGAGACACTGTCCCTATCATTGAGTGAGCCAAAGGGATGGGTGAGTACTTTTCCTAGTGGCAGACAGGGAAAGTAGAGTCCCCAGGTTCAGGAGCTGGCCCTCCACCCTGTGGAAAGCCCAGCTCCCAGGACTTGCCTAGGGAGCTGCATCGACTCACTGAGGTAGGCAGTGACCAGAAAGTGGATTTTTTGCTTGGGCCCTTGAAAATACAGTCAGTCATGGCAAATATATATATTTTTAAAGTATGAATTCTAAGCCGGGCACAGTGGCTCACACCTGTAATCCCAGCACTTTGAGGGGGGTGAAGACAAGAGGATTGCCTGAACCCAGGGGTTCAAGACCAGCCTGAGCCAACCCCGCAAGACTTCATCTCTACAATAAATAAAAAAATTAGCCAGGCATGGTGGAACGTGCCTGTGGTTCCAGCTACTTGGAAGGCTGAGGTGGAAGGATCACTGAACCCAGCAGGTAGAGACTGTAGTGGTTGTGAGCGTGCCACTGCACTTCTGCCTGGGCGACAGAGTGAAAATCCTACTCAAAAATAAAAAGAAATAAGAAATAAATAAAGTATGAATTCTGGAAGCTGGAATGAATAAGACATTCACTCTTACATTGATGAGGGAAGCTAAACTAATAAGCCAGATTACAGGTTTAACTAGAAAATAAAATCAGTTTGGCAATATATGAGTAGTCTTTGGATGACACCTAACTATCAGAAGGAAGTAAATAGAGATGAGGTCAAAGTTGGCAATGAAACATTAGCTATAATAGCAAAAAAATAATAATAAAGGAATAATCAATTATGGTATATTCATCGATGAACTCACTAAAATAATGTTTATGAAGAGCTTGTGAGATCACAGGGGAAATGCTTACATTATACTGCTATGTGATAAAAAGACCATGTTTATATGTACAGTGTGACCTTAAATATGTAAAATGTATAAGAAAAAATGACTTGAGGGTACACATTCAAAGGAAAATTGGCAGTGGAATTTTTTTCTTTGTATTTTGTTCTAGTTTCTAAAATATAGTGAGCTCATTTGAACTTTCATATCCACAAAGTATTCTTATAAATGTGTGGTTTATTCACAAAGCTATAATAATATTACTGATTTCTGGAATTTTGAGTTTCACACTTGTGGTGTGAGATATATGGGAAACTTCAGGCACATCACTTGACTGGACTGGTGGCTGATAAGAAGTCTGAGACACAGCTGCTGAGTGTCCTAACCAAGGGAGTATCTGTAGCGGACGCCATTATGGGAGAGAGCGACCATTTGGTGTGCAGATGGGCAGTAGCCTGGAGCTCGGGAGCAGCTGTGGCTTTAACAAGAATAAGTCATGTCATCTGTAAGTTGTGGGCCTATTCAGCTCAGGTACTGCAGGCTGGTCAGCCCGCTCTGGGCACACTACTGAGTGGTGGTAATGACACTGTTTGAAAATAATTTGGTGGGAAGCTGAGGTGAGTGAATTGCCTGAGCCTGCGGGTTCAAGACCTGCCTGGGCAACTTGGTGAGACCTCATCTCTACAATAAATAAAAAAAAAAAAAAATCAGCCTGGCATGGTAGCGCGTGCCTGTAATTTCAGCTACTTGGAAGGCTGAGGCGGAAGGATCACCGGAGCCCAGCAGGCCACTGGGCGACAGAGTGAGACTCCAACTCAAAAAAAAAAAAAAAGAAAAGAATTTGGAAAAGTGAGGTTGTGTCTAGAAGAAAGTGACCAGTGTAGTGAGAGGGAGAGCTGAAGGGATAGGGCTACTAATCCCAGAAGAGAACAGTAGAAGAACAGGTGTGAGAATGTCTGCCAACAGTTGAATTGTCAAAGTTGGACCTAGAGTGATGGTAAGGAAGCTGTAAGCTCAACAGAAAGAAGCTAATACAGTTGGCTCCACAGCCCTGCTTCTGCAAGGGCTCATGTGGAGCTGCCCTGTCTGCAGGTGACAGACAGGGTAGCTGCATTCCTTGCCCTATCACAGAGGCAGATGCATGTGATATCATAGAGAAGCATGCTTTTTCTTTGCACTAATTGCTTATTTTAAGAACTGATAGCTAAGGTTTGAATACATGCCCTCCAAAATTCAGGTGTGGCCAATGTGATGGTATAAAGAGGTAGGGCCTTAAAAAGTGACTAGCCCATGAGGGCTCCTCCCTCATGAATGGGATTAAGACCCTTATAAAAGAGGTTTCATGCAGCATTTGGCTCTCTTGTCCTTCTGCCTTCCTCCATTTGAGGACACAGCACTTCTTCCCTCAGAGGACGCAGCTCTTACCAGACAATCAAGCCCATCAGTGCCCTGATCTTGGATTTCCCAGCCTCCAAAACTGTGAGAAAACAAATTTCTATTTTGTATACATTGCCCAGTCTCAGGTATTTTGTTATAGCAGCACAAATGGACTAAGACACCAATTAATGCCTGCCCTCTTCCCCACCCCCTTTCTGAATTGTCTCTCCCTGTACAATGGGCCCAAATGACCCTGGCTCACCCGAAGCAGTCATCTGGGCCAGGAACAGGAGGAAGAGAGAGGTGGCATCCACCTGGAGGTGGCCCCACTGGTCATCGCCCACCACGGTGCTGCAGGTAGCAGTGTTGTATTTGGCATGCAGGCTGTCCTTGGTACTCTGAGTATGCTTGAACTTCTCCACTTTGTTCACCTGAGGGAGAAGGTGAGGTGGCTCCACACGGTTATGGGGTCTCCTGGCTGGCAGAGGAGCCAACCACCTGGATCTATACCTGGTATCTGCTACTTCTGGGAAGTAGAGGGAAGGAAGGCAGCTGCTAGTGGGCCCCACATGGAGGGGGCTGTGCTGGGGATTCTTCTTGCCCATTCACTGGAAATATCCCAGCCCAGTAGGATTTTAACAAGCTCTGCAGGTTTGAGGGGTCATGCCAAAAGGTGCCCTTGTTTGCATATCCCCAGCTGTGACACATGGTAGGTACTCAAGGAAAAAGGGAGGAAAGGTGGGAAAGAGGAAGGGAAGGAATAGGACCTGTTTAAATTTCAACTTTTCTTCATTTCTTAATGTTGAAAGGAAAAGAGCAAGTATGTCTTCAAACCTGCGGACTGAGGGCAGAGACTGTATTGTATTCATCTTTGAATATGTGCAGCTCTTAGTATAATGTTCTGTATATAATATGTACTCAATGAAATGTTTTATTTACCCCTTGTTGTAAATATCAGTAAATAGTAATGTCAAATATTAAAAATTCAAGCATTTCATCTCAAATTAAAATATAATCTTTTATAAACTTGACAAAATAAACAATAATACCTAGATTTTTAAGAATGGCTTTCTTTAAATGTTTTCTTCTCCCATAAAAACAGATATGTTCTCCTTTTACACATGCAACTCTTAAAGAGATTCTCAGAAAGCATTTGTTGAAACCGTGCTTTGATAGTATAGTGAAATTATTGAAGATCATTTTAAAAAGAGAAAGTAAGTGAAATATTTTCTATTTTCCTCCTAAGAAGAAAAGTTCAGAATGCCTTAAGCATGTTAACTGTCACAATCAAAATGACATGAGGCTGGGTGCAGTGGCTCATACCTGTAATCCCAGCACTTTGGGAGGTGGAGGCAAGAGAGCTGCCTCGGCCCAGGAGTTTGCGACCAGCCTGGGCAACATGGCGAGACCACATCTCTACAATAAATCAAAAACTTAGCCAGGTGTGGTGCCATACCCTTGTAGTTCCAGCTACTTGGAAAGCTGAGGCAGAAGGATCACCTGAGCCCAGCAGGTCAATTTTGCAGTGGCCGTGGGCATGCCACTGCACTACAGTCTCACTCCAGAGTGAGACTGCAACTCAAAAAAAAAAAAAAAAAAAACACATTAAATGCCTGCTTAGAGGCTCTGCAGACACACATCTCTAGGTCCCCCCTACCTGTCGCATCATGCACTGGAGAAGACCTCGCATCAGCTTCACTACGTTCTGTGGAGATAAAGTGGAGTCAGTAACAAGGCCCCAGGTCCCTGCTTGAGGAAAGTCACCTCCTTACCACCATGGCTGGTAAAGGGTAGATCTCAAGCAGACATGAGTATTCCAAGTGTTCATATTCTCTCTACTTCTCCAACTCCATTACAGAGAAAGAAAAGTCTTGACAAAGTGACTTATCTCAAACAATGGGATTGAATCAGATGGTATCTGCCGGCTCTGAAATTCAGCAACTCCCCACTGACATTTAGCAGCACAATTTTTATAAGCCTAGTACTCTGAAGCCTTATGTCACATGTCTTAGTAATTTATTTGTGTTACACTAAGAATGAATTAAGTCCACTACGCCTGCTCAAAAGTAATGATATTTTGCCAGGACAGTCACTTGTGATACTATAACTGGACTGTTGAGTAAAGTTCTTACAAAATGCAAGTGGTAGCCAAGGTTTCTTAATAATATGATGTATTACAACTGATTGCTACTATTACTATCCTCATTAGAAATAACAACAATAATGCTACATTAATCAGTTAGTATGTCTAGGCATCGTACAAACACTTGACTTGGATTCTCTTAAATTCTTGCACTAGCTTATGAGGTGGGCCATATTATGACCCCACTTTTTAGAAGAGGAACCCGAGGCTGAAAGAGATGAAGTAACATTGCTAAAGTCTCCCAGCTGGCGAGGGGTGGAGCAAGAACAGAGCCCAGGCAGTCGACGCCAGAGTTCAAGCTCTTAATCAGTATGTTATGTTGCCTCCCATTTCTTCCACAATTCTGACCCATTTAAAGACTGGGCTTGGCCAGGCGTAGTGGGTCACACCTGTAGTTTCCAACATTTTGGGAGGTCGAGGTGGGAGGATAGCTTGAGCCCAGGAGTTCGAGATCAACCTGGGTAACGCAGTGAGACTCTGTCTCTACAAAAATAAAAATAACCAGGCATGGTAGTGCACACTTACAGTCCCAGCCACTTGGGAGGTTCAGGCTCAAGAGGTCAGGGCTGTAGTGAGCCATGATCATGCCACTATACTCCAGCCTGACAGAGCAAGACCCCAACTCAAAAATAAATAAACACATAAAATAAAAAATAAAGAATAGTCTTAACATGTCCTGTTAAAAACACTATAAAACTACTTCCCAAGTGGCTAGAGAATGAGATATTTTGTAGGTCAAATTAGCCTGGCTGAAATAAATTTCCAGCTAGGGCCATGAGCACCTCCTCTCTCACAGAAAGTACATGGTTTGCAGAGGACAACATAGTGAAGGGCCCCAAAAGGTCATCACCAGTGAAAAGTCTAGAATGGATTGTCCTTCAGATCCTTCCACCTCTAAGATCCTAGGATCCTAGAATATAATCTCACATTATGTCATAAATTCTGTTGGGGCAGAAAATGTTACCTCATAATGATAAGGTAAAATTAACATTGTTATGATCTGCATTTCCTATAGTATACAGCATAAACATTTGTCAACTGACTTCTCAAATAAGCAAAAGTTATTTTCCATTAGGAAGAAGTATAGGAGTTCTTAACTGGGGGGTGACAGGACCATCCCCTAGGAGTGGTGGGGAATCTGGAAATGTGGGAGTGGAGGTATTTTACTTGTCACAATGATGGAGGTGGGGGCTATTGGCACTTAGTGAGTAGGGGTCAGGGACACTAAACATCCTGGAATGTATGCGACAGTCTCACATAATGAAGGACTGTACCACCTGAGCCCAAAATGCAATAGTGTCCCTATTGAATATCACTAGAAGATCCCCATGTTATTTTCCATGCTCAAGTGAGTTGTCTCCTTTAGTTCTTAACCACACTCATCAGACAGTAAAAGGCATTTGGAAACAACATGACCTGTTGATGTCCCACTATTGTTAGTCAAAGAGTAGCAAATCTAGTCAACCTTAACTCAGGCCAGGTAGGAGTGTGTGTGTGTGTGTGTGTGTGTGTGTGTGTGTGTGTGTGTGTGTGTGTGTGTGTGTGTATAAATGGGCACTGCTTTAAGTGATTTCATCTCAAAGAGGATGGGAGATTTGTAGGACACTGATAGGAAATTACACTATTACATGAATGGTTCACTTATGTAAAAGTCATCAATCCAGTTTCTTGGAGGAGCATTCAGTACTTGCTGTATGCAATTTTATTTATTTTTATTTTTGTATGCAATTTTAAAAACTATCCATATTTTCCTTCCCTCCAAACCTGGGTGATCTCATTACCTCACAGTTAGCATGTCTTGTCAAACCTAAACTTGCTCCCAGTGCCAAGCTTCTTTCTTAGCCTCCCCAAGGCTGGCAGGGCTTCCCTCATGCTGCCCATTACTCAGGCCACTTTACGTACAAGCACCATATGGACTGTAAGAACTATTCCTGGACCTGATGATCCACTGACTGTGAGGGCCATGGAATCAAAACTAAGTACAAGGGTTTTTGTGCCAACAGTTATACTCTTATATTTCAATGTTCCCTACTTCAATGCTATCACTCAAAACACTTAGAAAATACCTCCTGTGCTCAGGGGCAGATTCTTTTCTTATAAACTTGATGGCAAATCTTTGCTTTGGTGGGTATCTTGGTTTCAGATTTTGGAAAACAATAAACTTTATTGTGCTGTATGGTGAGTATCATGGGCACAAAAAATGGATAACATCAATTTGGTTCAAAATTAAAGGGTGACCATGTTAATAAGACTACTTTTCTGAAATGGCTCATACTAGAAAAGTGTTTTTAAGGAAAGTTTCAAAAATATTTTAAGCAGCAGCAATAATATTTGGACAAATATTCTTTCAATGTGATACTCTGAAGACTACACACTTTGGAATGTGTAGCTCTGATGAGCTGACGTTTTAAAAACAATCACATTAGTTGATAATGATGCCTTGTATATCAACATGGATAAAACTGACAGAGCATGTATAAGATAAATGTAGCTAGTTAGGAAAATCACACTTTGGGAATAGAAATTTGGATGCTTTCATTTCCTGTATGGTGTGATTTTTGATGTTGTCAGTGTTTTATGGAGAGAAAAATCTCAAACAGAAAGACAAATGTGAGGTTGAGGCCAGCTAGATCCCTCCCCAAAATATTCTATAGCAGAAATGGAGGCGAGGCTTGCATTCAAACTGTTCTGCACACGTAGCTACTTCCTTGTGGGTTCTTCAGTTCAAGGAAAGATGCTGAGCAGCCAAGATGTGGGCATCGGTCACCATTACCTGTTCCAGCTCGTAGGCCTTGGCCTTGTCCTCATCACGGTCGGCATTCTTGCGGTAGGCCATGCCCAGGCCCCATACAGCCAGGATGCTATAGATGTTGTCCCGTACCCAGGCATCCTTCTGCTCATGGCTGGCTGACAGCAGCCCCGTGACAGGATTCTATCAGAGAAGAGACACAAAAGAACTCAGCGTCCCACTCCACTCTAGCTCTGCATGCCCAGGGAAGCCACCTTCCCTATGTGGGCAATTCAGATACTTCATGTACCTAAATAGAAGGTGCCGGGCAAGAGGACATCTGGAAGTCCTATTTAGCTATGACATCACTGGTATTCAAAAGGCAGCTGAGTCACTAAAAAGCAAACCTTCCCACAAAAAAATTATACACAAATGTTCATAGCAGCATTATTCATAAAAGCCAAAAAAAAAGCGAAAGCCACCCAAATATCTATCAGTTGCTGAATGGATAAACAAAATGTGATCTATACAGATAACAAAATACTATTTGGCAGAAAAATGAAGTATCAATACATGCTACAACATGAATGGACTACAGAAACATTATGCTAAGGGAAAGAGATTGGCTAGTCACAAAAGCCTATATATTGTATGGTTCCATTTGTATGAAATGTCCAGATCAGGCAAATCTACAGAGACCGAAAGTAAATTAGTGGCTGCCTGGGCAAGGAGTGGGAATGGAGTGGGGGAGTGAGTGGCTGCTAATAGGGTTTTATTTTCTTTTTGGAGGAGATAAAAACGCTCTAAAGATGATTGTGGTGATGAGTGCACAACTCTGTGAAGATACTAAAAACCACTCAACTGAACACTTTAAATAGATGAATTGTATGGCAAGTTATACTTTAATAAAGCTATAAATTCCCTAAAAGCCAGTCCTAACAAACTCTGTGCTTAGAAATAAAATGGATAAGATAGGAAAAGAATCACGTAAAGCCTCATTGACTTTCCCTGAAAATATACAAAGAAATATATATCTAATAAAGTACACTACAACAATCAGAACCTTGCCAGCTTAAAAAAAAAAAAAACACTTTACTCAAAAGGGTGCCATATTATTTACAAGAGAGCTCATGATAAAACTCTCTTGGGTACTTTCAAAGTAACAATGCAAAGGTTACTAGATATAAAACATTGGCATCGTTTCACATTTCCATCTAAAAAATTAGATATTTGATTTTCTCCTTTAACTAATCTATGTCCTCTACCAAATCATCTAAAACTCAACAGGCACAACAGCGTTCTGTATATTGACATAGTTTTGCAGCCAACAACTAATATCAATGATATTAAGTCAACCACAATTGAAGTCCAGGAATGGCTGAGTGAAAGTACATATCTTATTCCAATAGTGGATACTAATGTTCTTTTTTAAAAATTCACTCTTTACCAACAATATATAACACAATCATCTTTATCTGTTCTGAGGCCTGTGGGGTAAGCCTGAGACAGGAAACCATCAGGCGACCCAGAGTAAGAACTCAACCCATTCTTGGCATCCCCACCAAAAACAAGTCCATTAAAACAAACACCTTCCAATGGCACAGCAGTGACCACTGACACATAGCAAGTGTGGTCTGGATTATGAAACATCACTGTCCTGCTTACTGAAAATCATCTCTTTTATCCTTTAATTTCGGTTTAACTGCTGGAGTAAATTAGTTCAGTCCGACACAAAGTTAGGCTGTCTGTTCCCCTCGTTTAACTACAGAGAAGCAATCTGAGTGTTTCAGGGGATCCCCACATTCAAAACTATGGATATACAATCCATGTAAAATTAGGGTGTTACTACAATCAGCAAAAGGAATATTTATTTATTTTATGACTTGCTACTCTCTTTAAGTCTATTAAAAAATGTACTGTGATGGAAGAAGATGTGGGTGGTTCCATTTGATGTGATTCATAAAAACTGCAATGACCAAAGATTGGCAGATACTCTGCCATCATCAGTCTGCTGTCCCTTCTAATAGGAATCACCCAGTGGCCAGGGATGGTGGCTCACGTCTGTAATCCCAGCACTTTGGGAGGTGGAAGTGAGAGGATTGCCTGAGTTCAATGGATCAAGACCAGCCTGGGCAACATGGTGAGACCTTGTCTCCACAATAAATCAATACAAATTAGCCAGGCAAGGTGGCAAATGCCTGTAGTTCCAGCTACTTGGAAGACTGAGGCAGAAGGATCACCTGAGCCCAGCAGGTCGATGCTGGAATGGTCATGAGCGTGCCACTGCACTCCAGCCTGGGCAACAGAATGAGACTCTGACTCAAAAAAAAGAATGGCCCAGTGGTTGTTTCTTCAAGTCACTCCCTTATTTGGAGATGGATTGTGCTGCATCACCTGCATTCTCACTCACTGATTCCTGTGAACCACTCAAACAGGTCTATCTCTAGAGAACTCTGGAGTCTTTCCTTTACATTAGATTTGTAAATGGAGGGGCAACAAAAGTGAACTCTATGTAACTACCATTTTTATTAGGAAAAAACAAAGTTGGGGTCCCTCTTTTATCTTTAAATATTACTAGTGGATAAATATTACATTGATACTTTTGAAACAAAAAACCTGGCAACTTTGCCCTCTCCACATCCAGGTCTTGCCTTTCTCCTTTAAGTTTAACCTTGAATTTTGCTCATTCATATAAATCTTTCTGTTTTGCTTTACTAAACTCTGTGCATTTTGCCAAAAAAAAAAAAAAAGACTAAATATCAGTGACAAATTTGGTAATAATATCCACTCTCCCATTCAACAGCTATTTTCTGAGGTGACCAGATGTGTGGTCACAAAGGACAGGGATGGAGCAGATTTCAAGAAATGGCAACTCCAAGGACAGCTAAGAATAATAAGTGGTAGGTATCACAGCACAGTCTTAGCAGAGATTGCACAAAGTTGCACTGACACTCAGCACCCCTGCCGCAGGTGAACCTGACAATGATATCCTTAAACTCTATATAAAAAAGTCCAAGACAGATGAGCCTAATATAAACTGTCTTTCATTGAGGGCAATGGGCCAACAGCTGGCCAGACAGGCCTTTATCTCCAGCCATTTGTTTGCCTCTCTTACCTTCTCCACCTCTTCTCAGTTTCTAATCTAGGGAAAGTGCACCTGTTACTTTTTACTGATGAGAAAAAAGGGCAGGCCACTAAGGCCTAGAATTGATTGAGCCCAGGGATTGGCCCCTATGCTCTGGTGACAAACATCACTAAAATCTCAGTGGTTTACTACAACAAACATTTATTTCCTGTCCACACCTCGTGTCTATCCCTGGCCAGCTGTGGTTCTGCTCTGTGTTATCTTCCCTGTAGGAACCAGGCTACTGGGGCAATTTGTATCTAAGACACTGCCCATCTTATGCAGAGGAGAAGACAGAGTGAAGCATGAAAGTCAGTTCACCATGAAGATATTACAATCCTAGCTGGGCTCGGTGGCTCAGCCTGTAATCCTAGCACTTTGGGAGGCCGAGGTGAGTGGATTGCCTGAGTCCGTGGGTTCGAGACCAGCCCAGGCAACTTGTGTGAGACCTTGTCTCTACAATAAATAAAAAAATTAGCCGGGTGTGGTTGTGTGTGCCTGTAGTTCCGGCTACTTGGAAGGCTGAGGCAGAAGGATTGCCGGAGCCCAGCAGGTTGAGGCTGCAGTAGCTGCGAGCATGCCACTGCACTCCAGTCAGGGAGACAGGGTGAGACTCCAACTCAAAACAAACAAAAAACTTAAAAAAAATAAAAAAACAATCCTAGATGTGTATGAACCTAACAAAAGGTAAAGGAGTAGACATAGATGAACAGAACACAGAGTCCAGAAATAATGTACATGAATATAGCAGACTGATTTTTAACGAAAGTCTAAAGACAATCGAAGGGAGAAAGAACAGCCTTTTTAGCAAAAGGTGTTGGGACAAATGGACATATACATGTAAGAAAATGAACCTCAATCTAAATCCCAACCCTGTAGACCAGTTTGGGGAATACCGTCATCCCAACCATATTGAGTTTTCTGATTCATGGACCTGGAATGTCTTTCTGGAACAATCTTAAGTATTGTTCTCATGCTATAAGCTTCCTAAGGGCAAAGTCTATCTTTTTTGTTTGCCACTCTAACCCAAGGTCCTGGCCTAGTTAAATAACTAATAAATAAATGAACAAATGTATAATGAAGATTATATTTTCATTGATATACAGTCTGAAATATCTTTTCAAAGATACTTAAAAGCACAGACATTATCTGCCTATAAGGCCTCACCTTTGCTTTAAAAGTAGAAAAGTGGACAAAACAAGGCAGCTGCTTCAAGCATAGGAAATGGCTTGTTGCTAAAGTCAGAGCTGAGATGGGTGAAGTAGATAATAGTCACCTCACAGGGTGGAGGTGAAGTTTAAGGAGGCTGAAGTTAGGGCAGTGAATTTTAGTGGAAGTGGGGGTACAGCAGTGAAGGGTGACCAGAGAAGACAGGGTACACGACTTTCTAGGGTGGTGTATATGTAGTTTAAGAATACATATTCAACATTATAATTTTCTACATGTAAAATGAAAACCCAAAACTAAAATCTTCCTCACACAAGCTAGAGAAACAATACTTACACAATCTTCTTGGCTGGTGGCAATACAAAGAAGATGATTCTCAAGGCAAGCAGCAGATGGGCTAGACTTTAACACCAAAAGAGGGCAGAGCTGTTAAAACGTGACATACACTGCCCCTTAGTAGAGGTGTGGGGGTGGGGCAGCAGGTAAGGCTGCAAAGTAGACACTGAGCCAATACTGGAACAGCAAAATGCTTATAGGCTTGGAGAGTAGATGGAAACCAACTCGATGGAATTCAACAAAGATTTATTTATTGGGCCCACATGTTTAATAAATGTTTGCTGAACTAATTTTATTAGCCATCATTCCCACACTTGAGTTGACTCAGCTCCCTTTATACATACACTCCTACACTGGGACCCCAATACATCTTTAAACAGAGCCTCTTCTCTCTTTGCCAAATCACCTCCCCCCACCCAAGAAGCCACCTTGTGACCTAGCAGCAACTTTCCCAACACTTGGGCACAAGAAAATTCGGCTGTATGACACTGACTTCAAGTTTTAACAGCAGTGTACCAAAAAGCAATGCGTATTAATAGAAGAGGAGTTTCCAGACAATAGTCTCACTAAACTGCCA